TTTGAAGTGAAAAATATGAAATATAGACTGAGTTCAGCTTAATTAAATGAAAGGCTTCAAAAGAAGGGGACCTCAAAAGCCATCTAGCTTCAGAATTTGGACACCAAAATTCCTATGTCAAAATCTAGGTCAAATTCAAAGGTTTTCCTTATTTTTGTGATTCTGACACTACACTTCAATTATATTCTTCGAAATTGTGTATACATTAGGGGTCCCGCGATTCATCGATATATCGATGCATCGGCTCGTTTGGTGACGATACGAGCGTATCGATACGAAGACTCAAATATCGATACACCAAAAATATAATTAACATACCTGAAATCCATCATATTTTGCCGAAATCTACTGAATATTTGACTTTTTTGAGAAATTGTTCTTATATTTTTTGTTTGGTTTCTCGCTGGACATGACACGCCCAAAATGGTGTATAAATGCGAACAGAATGCTTAGCGGATTGACAGTCAAAATGCGAACAAATAACTCGTGTCTTCTATGTCTTCGTATATCAACGTACTTTGTTTTATAATTATTCTATATACTTTTTGACAATTTAGTATGAATAAATATAATCTTTGAACTTTTTATTCGATAGAACGCCGTTAAAAAATTGCTTACTAATATTGATAACTCTAATAAAAACCGAACAATATTTACGTTCGGAGTATTAATGTTGACCGGAGTTTAGAAATTGAAACTTTTTGAAAGTTTTGAAAACAATTGATAGAATTATGGCCGTGTAAATATCAAACATGGGTAGTTGTAATATCCTAATACGGCCCCTAATAGAAAATATACTGTAGTACTTTGTAACATTCCTAAGTAAAGGGAAAGCACAGCCGGACTTCAAAAAATATTGCAAAATATGCATAGCTGGCTACTATACAGCAGGTAGGCTTGATACTACAATAGTTTTTATGCTGCATCTTAATCAAATGTCACAGCAAGTGATAGACTTTCAACTCGACATCAGCTACGTCAGTTTTGCACCCCCCCCCCCTCCCCCGGTTCAACTACACTATTATGTATCGTATCGTTGCTCGTATCGTGACCTGAGTATCCAGATACGTATCGTATCGTTTCATAATGTATCGTGGGACCCCTAGTATACATGTAGCCAAGAGTCTGCTAATAGTGTTAGCCTTTTGCCGTCAGAAAGTATTTTGACCCACTTTTGAGATATGGTGTCCGAAAAGTAGGTCAAAATAAAAAGTTCTCCAAATTTAATGTATGAGTTATGACTTAGGGGTAGAATTTTGTCAGGAATCCGAATCTGCAAACAAAATTTCGATCCGACTTCCGGTTCGGAAGTTATGGCGTGTCCGAAAAGTAGGTCAAAATAAAAATTCGCCAAATTTAACGTATGAGTTATGAATTAGGGGTAGAATTTTGTCAGGAATCTGAATCTTTAAATCAAATTTCGATCCGACTTCCGGTTCGGAAGTTATGGCGTTTTGAAATTTCGGAAAATCGATCTGATGGCATCCTGATAGAAAGTCAAGAGTAGAGAAGAAAATATTGAAAAATTCATCCATCCTTCCTATCTGATCTTATCCTATCCTATCCTTCCTATCTATCCTTCCTTCGTATCTTTTCTCCTTCCTATCCTTCCTATCCTCTCCTATCATATCCTTTCTTCCTATTCTGTTCTATCCTATCCTTCCTATCCTCTCCTATCATATCCTTTCTTCCTATTCTGTTCTATCCTATCCTTCTTTCTTATTCTATCCTATCGTTCCTTCCTATTCTATCCTATCCTACCTTCCTATTTTATCCATCCATCTTTTTCTGGATGACTCAGCTTATTCTGGATGACTCGGCTTATTCTGGATGACTCGGCTAAAAAAGGTCTAAATCTGGAGTCTGAAATTGAACTTCGTTCAATTTCCAAAGTCTAGTTATTATTTTTCTTTAAGAGTTTTTTCAATAACTATAAGGTATCCAGTAAAGACCATTATACAGTTCATTTAGGTTCAGTATCTAGTTGGTGGGAAATTGGGTCAAATTTTTATCTAGGTCAAAGGTCAAGAACTAGGTCAAATCTTACATTTTCAACCTTCTGTCTATTATCTTCGTCGTTATTTCTCGAAACGTCTTCATCTTTTTTTCATCCTGTAGCTTACAAACAGCCCTTTCATAAGTGTGCCATCCGTTTTTTGATTACTCTTACCGATTTTGAAATATGGCGTCCGGAAAGTAGGTCACACCAAAACGTGCTCCAAATTCAATGTATGAGTTATGAATTAGGAGTAGAATTTTGTCAGGAATCCGAATCTGCAAACCAAATTTCGATCCGACTCCCGGTTCGGAAGTTATGGCGATTTAAATGCTCAAAAATTTGGTGCCCATGCTAAGTCAATGGGAAAAAAGATTTTTTTGAAGTGAAAAATTCGAAATATAGACTGAGTTCAGCTTAATTTAATGAAAGCCTTTAAAAGAAGGGGACCTCAAAAGCCATCTAGCTTCAAAATTTGGACACCAAAATGCCTAGGTCAAAATCTAGGTCAAATTCAAAGATTTTCCTTATTTTTGCGATTCTGACACTACACTTCAATTATATTCTTCGAAATTGTGTATACATGTAGCCAAGAGTGTGCTAATAGTGTTAGCCTTTTGCCGTCAGAAAGTATTTTGACCCACTTTTGAGATATGGTGTCCGAAAAGTAGGTCAAAATAAAAAGTTCTCCAAATTTAACGTATGAGTTATGAATTAGGTGTAGAATTTTGTCAGGAATCCGAATCTGCAAACCAAATTTCGATCCGACTTCCGGTTCGGAAGCTATGGCGTGTCCAAAAAGTAGGTCAAAATAAAAATTCGCCAAATTTAACGTATGAGTTATGAATTAGGGGTAGAATTTTGTCAGGAATCTGAATCTTTAAATCAAATTTAGATCTGACTTCCGGTTCGGAAGTTATGGCGTTTTGAAATTTCGGAAAATCGATCTGATGGTATCCTGATAGAAAGTCAAGAGTAGAGAAGAAAATATTGAAAAATTCATCCATCCTTCCCATCTGATCCTATCCTATCCTTCCTATCTATCCTTCCTTCGTATCCTTTCCTTCCTATCCTTCCTATCCTCTCCTATCATATCCTTTCTTCCTATTCTGTTCTATCCTATCCTTCTTTCTTATTCTATCCTATCATTCCTTCCCATTCTATCCTATTCTACCTTCCTATTTTATCCATCCATCTTATTCTGGATGACTCAGCTTATTCTGGATGAATCGGCTTATTTTAGATGACTGGGCTTAAAAAAGTCTAGATCTGGAGTCTGAAATTGAACTTTGTTCAATTTCCAAAGTCTAGTTATCTCTCTCTTATCAATTACAGTAACCTTTGACCAGTTATATCAGTAACCATGTGACCTATGACGTCACTTCCACTTCCGGTACATCGTCTTATCTTTTTTACTGTTTTATCAGTTTGTTATCTACCTTTGACCTATAACAATGAAACATCCATGAAGTAGACAAGATAGCTTATCACATAGTCACCAGGTTACCTTAACAGTGTTTGTTTGATTATCTAATCAATTGAGCTCTCTCTTATCAGTTATCAGTAACCTTTGACCAGTTATATCAGTAACCATGTGACGTATGACATCATTTCTGTGCATTCAACTCAAACCTATGTTCTTTTATCAATATAACCTTTGTCCAGTTATATCAGAAACCATGGTAGTTATCTTTTCACTGTCTTATCAGTTTATTATCTCTCTCTTATCAATTATCAGTAACCTTTGGCCATGTTTTTCACTGTCTTATCAGTTTATTACCTCTCTCTTATCAATTATCAGTAACCTTTGACCATCTTTTTCAGTGTGATATCAGTTTATTATCTCTCTCTTATCAGTAACCTTGACCAGTTATATCAGTAACCATGTGACCTATGTCGTCACTTCCACTTCCGGTGCAGTCACTTCCGGTGCACCATCTTACCACGCGATCTATGACGTCACTTCCGGTGCACCACTTCCGGTGCACCATGGTGTATGGTGCAGGTGCAGGTTGTAGGTCGAAAGGCCCGCCGTATACTACTAATGGTAATTCTACAAAACAGTACACAAAAACAAATACAAAAGGTACTCCGAGTAAAGAGATCTCTTTACTTGGTGTATTCGACTCAATCTTTTTTACTGTCTGATTCAAAATTCTATCAAGTACCTTGAATTAAAAAAATAGCAATCAAATGACCATATTGAAACACTTTATGAAAAAATAGTGATCAGTGTATTAGTTCACATCTTCTGGATCGCTAACTTAGAATTTACAGCCAGTTACTAATGTCAGACGTTAACGACATTTCGTCCAGTTTTCGAACATCGCCATTTTTCTTGGAGCCATTTTGTTTTAATTTTAGACGAAATCCTGTCGAAATCATGTCATATCTCATCAAGGAGCCGAGCTGGGTCCGGTTTGATTAATGATTTATTTATCTGGCGATTTTTAAAATATTCAATTAATTTATGACACCCCGGCCAGCTTTTTTCAAATAGAGTTCACGTATTCCAGATGCAATCCCCTCTAGCCAAGTATTGACTAGAGACTCGAGTAAGGTTTTCATATGCGTGGTCTCTTATATTTTGATGCTTACTGAACTCTGCCATGTTATCTTTGAAAATATTAACATGGCTGAAACTCCCTAAATTACAAAAGGCCCAGAAGGAGTGAGTAGCTCCCATAATTCTTTCATATTCTATTGTATTAGGGGATTCCCCATTATACAATCTTCAATCAAATTGCAGGATGTGATCACGTGAACAATCATGAGCAAGTGCTTTCTCAGTATTGCGCATGCGCAAAGTAAAATTTGAAATCCATGAAATGGCGTTTATTTCAGTTTAACATCAGTTCAACCTCATCATTTCAAAACGATGGTAATACTATTGAAATTACTCAATCCAAACATTCAGAGAATACTCATAAAACACAAGCGAAAATTGAGAGATCCATTTCAATGGCAAATGTGGCCTGTTTACAAAATTGGTGATCAAACGTACCAATATGAAAGGTGATCTTTGGGAAATCTCCCCCCTACAAAAAGGCCACAGCTTTACTGCACATTACACATAACTATCTGAAATATACAAAAGTTAGATCTTGTACCATGGGCTTTCTGTTGAAAGCCCATGCTTGTACATATGTTTCTATTTTTCATAAACTGTTGCAATATGGTCATTTGATTGCTTATTTATTGAATTCAAAGTACTACAGATGGTCTAGAGTCTAGTTTTTTATTTCGGAAACCAGTTCATATGGTTAAAATAATGAAATGTTGTGATGTAACCATGTATCTACTTACCAGTATGTTCTATGTCATCTATCAGACTATGTTACATTTGCTGGAATTACACCACAAAATCCGCTAAAACGTTTTTGTGGGAGACGCTTTACAAAAGCGCCATTCTAATTACACCAACATTTCTAAATCGTCTTAGGAAGTATATTTTGGAATTACACCTGTTTTTTCTAAAACGCCTTTCGTGCACTTTTAACGATTTAGTTATGGTTAATATCTAGCATACATGTATGTGTACATCTCCTGTAAATGTATTCTTTTTGCATCTAAGACAAAACTGATCTTCCATAATTTGATTAAAAATGCATGGCATTGCATAATTTTTATTTATCTTTTATTAATTATGAGAAAACATAATAAAAAGGTAAAAGAAATTGATTTCGATGTGACCTGGCGACCATCATCCATTTTTCAATTTAGATACAGCCAGAAAGCAGCATGAAATGATTTCATATTTCGTTTAAGGCAAATGTTAAAACTAGTAAAAACCCGGGTAAGGCGTCTTACAAAAAACTGATCAGTATTACACTGCACACTTAACGCGCCTAACGACTTATGCCGTTTACTAGTGACAAGGGTTCTTGGAGTTTTAGAAAAGCGCTTTTGTAAAACCGCAATCGTGATTACACCTAATTCTTAAACCTGGTTAAAACTGAAGAAGCTTTTGTAAAACGCCATGTGTAATTCCAGCAATTGTGAAACTCAGCTAAACACGACACTGAAGGCAGTATTCTGAGTTCCACTTTCCAGATGTCTGAAAACCATTTTTCTTTAAATTAATATCTTTCTTTGAAGACATGCTTGAATGACACGTGACAAGTCCTGTGATATCAACTAGTAACTAGACACTTGATCAGACATGTTACTGGCAAAATGGACGATATAAATTTCAAAGAATTCGGCTAAGATCAATATCGATATATTGTTGCCTTCATTGTCATGTTTGGCTGAGTTCCACAATTCACAAAGTCTGATGGATAGCATAGAACATACTGGTAAGTAGAATACATGGTTACTTACATCACATCATTTCGTTCTTTTAACCATATGAACTGCTTCCCAGAAAAAAAGAATTTTGAATTGAGGTTGTATATGTTCGCGGGCCTATGGGCTATACGCCGTCTACTGTTATACACTCTGCAAGATTCAATCACCAAGATGAGCAAATTAGGGGAGAATCTGATAACAAAAAGGTAACTTCATTTTTTTTCAATTTAATTATGTCTGAGTTATGAATGAACGGTCAATCCCGTTCGTGCTCAACAAGACCAGAAAAGAGGCCCGGGGAAAAGATTGGCTTGGAAAAGAGGATGGGCTTGGAACACTATGGATCATCTGCGTACCAGTCTAAATGTGATTCAAAACATAGTGTATTAATCATTCATGGTATTCTACTTACTTGTACGCAATTGTGTTAATTTGAAAATTGTAGCTTTGCAAACATTTCAATCGAAAATTCGAAATAATAACTTCTATTTTTATTTTATCCGGAAATAGATAAACCTCTCTTTCAATTAGTCTGTCACGTGATTTAGAAATAATCTATAATCAGTACATATTCAACACTGTCGTACATGAGCCTGGATAGCTCAGTCGGTAGAGCATCAGACTTTTAATCTGAGGGTCCCGGGTTCGAGTCCCGTTTCAGGCTAATCCTTTTTTATTTTTCATACATGCCTTACCATCCATCGATAACGTACAGTGACAACATACCATAGTACACTTTAGTTGTACGGTGTCACTATTTAATCGATTTGAAGCAGTAGACAATGATAAATTTTCCGAAAATTACATGGCAGAGAAGCATCAAAATATAAGAGGCCACAGATATGATAGCTAAACTACAAAACAAACTAAAATATGCAGAAGTTAAGACATGTATAAGTGTTTCACATTTTTACATATATACCTACTGTTTCAATTTGGTCCTTTACTTTGATTGCTTATTTTTTAAATTCAAAGTAGTTCCAAACATTTAAAATACTGTATACACATTACTGTAGTAGCCTAAGATTCATTTGCCCCATTTCCTTTCACTCCAAAATGCTCTGTTGAAGAGATTAAATATTTAAATTAACAAGTCTGTTTCATTTCAATACCAGGCTAAGGCAACAATCGAGGATTTGCTATGTTGATTGATGAAAAGAAGGCGATAATCATTTTGCAGGGCCAAAATAATAATATGAATTGAATTATACAGCGGATTCAGAATTAATAGCTTTATAAGATTTTTTCAAATTGTGCCATCCCCTAAACTCACTTTAGTAGGGCCTAGCTTGGTAAAGAAAGCTGGGTTGTTTCTTGGAATTAATCATAAATTTTAAGTAAATCATGTTTCTAGAAAGAGTTTTATCAAAATAAATTTGGAAATACTTTTGTGTTGAAAGAAAGATGGCGTACATATACAGTTCAGACGAATCAGAGAAAGTATCAATGACTCTGCAATTGCATATAACTGGTGATCCACTCGATTAAACATACAAACGGTATGGGCTAAAAGTGCAGATCTTAACTGTTTTTCAAAAAACGTTTATGTAACTTAAGTGAGGAATTAAATCGACGATTCTGTTGTCTTGTCCTGTTGTGTTCGCATATATGTACATTTTCTTAAACATATAATACTGAGGCCCGTAGCCAGGGGGGGGGGGGGGGTTCGGGGGGTTCGGGCGACCCCCCCCCGGCCAAAATTGCTTTCAAAATCATGCAGTTTTCACCATTCTGACTATTTTTTAAGTGATTCTTGGCCAAATTTGCCAAAGTGAGCCCCCCCCCCTAAATTTTTTTGGAAAAGTGAACCCCCCCTTGGAAAATTCTGGCTACGGGCCTGTTATGATATCATTGATATATGTTTGTGATAAAAAATGTCGTGGGAATCCTGCCTACAACGTATGAAATAAGGAAAAAAGAAAAATCGTACCTTCGATGTTCCGACATTTTGTTACGGAAACGAACCGTTTTGGTAACCAGCGTAATCGATTGGATCACCAGTAAATATGGAAATCTGTTGAAAATATCGAGGTGTTGATCAATATTTGGGAGGATTTTTTACCTTAACAGGAATATCAACTCAAACGCTGCTATTCTCTGATCAAGAGAAACACAACAGTAACATATATTTACAGAATTATGTATATTTCTATGTTGTAAAATATAACGATACAACTCTAATATTTTTAAGCATTTGGTTTGTACAAAATGGCCAACGTCAGCTAACAAATGACAAACAAATCACTGACAATGACCTAATAAATAACATTGACTGACACGGGTTAAAAACAACATGTATCTAGCATATGAATACATACAGGGTGGGCCAAAAATGTCCATATTTTTGTTTATGCTACAACCTTGTTGATATTACAGACACATATATAAACCATGTACCATTCGAAATCCAACAAAATGATATATAATTCATTTCATATAAAGGAATATTCGTCTTAAAATATCATATCGATCAACACAGGGGTCAACATCATGATTTACAATTTGCTGAATACAGAATGCTAAGAACTGACCAGACAGATAGAACCCCTATGATGGCATTGCGCATGCGCGGACATACATCACATCAGTACTTTAACTAAGCTAAAGTAGCCAGTTGAAAAAGTAATTACCAAACATTAAGTTATATTACAAAAAAAAATATAAATATGGACGTTTTTTGGCCCACCCTATTAGTATGAAACAGTCTATGTGGTGTAATTTTGGATACAATACAAAACTCATTTATAATCCATTTTTTCTACATCGGATACTTTACAAAAAATAAATATTCCATCTTTTTTAGACATGCTATATTTTATACATTAAATCATAAAGAGTCCTCTAATGCATTGGATACCTGATTCGATTTTACGCATTATAAATTTTGATATACAACTGCTTTGTATATTCGATACGTTCTCAAATTGTGAATGCAATGAGGATACATACAATAAATACATTCCATCTTTTTTGGGATGTGATTACATTTTATACATGAATATGAAACTCAGATAGAGTCATTTAATACATTGGATACATGATGTAAATGCAAACAATATAAAACTCATACAGAATCCCTTTGTTTAATTTGATACATTGTATTAAAACAAAAAAGGTAATAACATATCACTTTTGTAATCTTTCATAAGCATAAGTTTTTTATTTGCTTATAGTTATCACTTTCGAAGTTGTCACAATATATAGAATCAAAGAGCTGGTTTTACACCGTTATTGATCAGACATGCCTATATACACTTACGCAACAATGTACGTGTTTGAAAAGAGTGTTACTAACGCTAACATTGAAAGACTAACAAGATGCTTAGAGATATGTACAGATCCCCTTGAAGGTTTCGAAGTTGTAGTTGGAGAAGGAGGCATTGAAGCAGTCGTGTGGCTAATGACTTTTGGTAAGCCGTGACAAATAGGCAAAGATGATTTTGGAGGTTTCCACATTGCAGATGTAGTAACACTTACGATGTGGTTACTTGTACCCTTATCATTACATGATATATAGAACTGAATATTTGCGTTATTACACATTATTGCAAGGTACTTGGCGTTACAGTTGCATTGCATAGGATAATCTTGAAGTTGTATGTTTTCTACGCTTGGATGGGAAAAATCAATTGCGTGTCTGTCAAAATATGAAATATGTGTCCTATCATTGAACAATAATGTCCCAAAGTGCGATTTTCCTGAAAATGCCATATTTTTGATAGAGATATCAACCATGTTTATAAATTCGATGCTATGAGCGTTCGCGATGCCTTTGAACGCATATGGGAGTAGTGTCAAATTGGATATTTGATCACTGAACACGATTGCTTTAACATTTTCAGAATTCATAAAAGATTCAGATTGGATTGAATTTAGATGATTCCCCTGAAAGAAAATCCCTTGCCTTACTTCTGCAATATTTGCAAAAACGTTTGTACTAATTTGGTTCCAGTTTGTATTTTCTTTGAATATGAGCTTGTCTGTGGTCAGTTCACTAAAAGCAAACGGTTCAAACCCTGCCATGTGATTCCTTTGAATAATGATTTCTTTCATATTAGATCTTTGGAAAGAATCCCGAGGAAAGGAACCATCAATTAAAGAGTATTCTATTGTAATGTTGGAGGGAGATTTTGAGTTACCGTTGAAGTCAATTCCACCAAAAGCATTGGTTCTTATCCCTTTAATTCTACAATAGGATATTACCAAACTGTTAATGCCATCAATCCTACTGAAAGCATTGTTTTCAATTTGTTCAATCGTACTATTAAATATCACCAATGAGCCTACACTATTTATCCCGCTGAAAGCATTGGATTGTAAGGTTATACTCGAGGATTGACTGCTAAACTCGATCGTTTTGATATTTTGGGAATTATGAAAAGAATTCGACTGAATTGAATTAAAATCATTATTGTTGAAATAGATTCCAAGCTTAACTTCTTTAATGTTGGCAAAAGCATTTGTATTGATTTGGTTCCAGTTAGTATTTTCTTTGAATATGAGTTTGTCCGTGGTCAGTCCATTAAATGCAAACGGTTCAAACCCTGCCATGTGATTCCTTTGAATAATGATTTCTTTCATATTAGATCCTTTGAAAGAATCCCTAGGAAAGGAACCATCAATTAAAGAGTATTCTATTGTAATGTTGGAGGGAGATTTTGAGTTACCGTTGAAGTCAATTCCAGCAAAAGCATTGGTTCTTATCCCTTTAATTGTACAATTTGATATTACCAAACTGTTAATGCCATCAATCCCACTGAAAGCATTGTTTTCAATTTGTTCAATCGTACTATTAAATATCACCAATGAGCCTACACTATTTATACCGCTGAAAGCATTAGATTGTAAGGTTATACTCGAGGATTGACCGCTAAACTCGATTATCTTGATATCCTTGGAATTTTGAAAAGAATTGGACTGAATTGCTGTTATGTCATTGTCATGGAAATAAATTCCTTGCTTTACTTCTTCAATGTTAGCAAAAGAGTCTTGACCGATTTGGTTCAAGTTTGTATTTTCTTTGAATATCAGTTTTTCTGTGGCCAGTCCTCGAAAAGCAAAGGCTTTAAACCCTGTTAAGTGATTCATCTGAAAAATAATTTCCTTCATATTAGATCCTTGGAAAGAATCCTGAGAAAAGGAGCTATGGATTAGGGAATACATAATTGTAATGTTGGTAGGAGAATCTGAGTTACCACTGAACGTGATTCCCCCAAATGCCTTTCTGGACACGTGTCCGATCGTGCAATTGGCTACCACCAAACTCTCAAGGCCATTGATTCCGCCGAATGTGTCACTTACTACCATTGGTATGGTTGAGTTAAGAATTGTGATAAATCTTGATTGTATAATGGCGTGAAATGCGTTTCTTGCCAAGCGAAGCTCTTTTATACTATCAAATACAATATCATAAACGCCACCAAACATAAATGCATCAGTCTGCACGGTCATACTGTCAGTCGCCCCTAAGAATACCCTCAGTCCCTGGCTATCCTGAAATGCACCGAGTTCGATTGATTCAATGGGGTTCGATTTCAAATTAACAGAGCATTCATTCCAAGAGAGGCCACGTGATTCCCGACACTCGCCATATAAATCATTTGGGAAACTCATGCCATTAAATGTATTGTACAAAATGGTGTGGAGCTGGTTATCAGAGAGATTAAGACTCATGATATGGAATAGCCCAAAGAACGCTTTCATTGAAATTGACATCACATTTGAGCTGTTAAGCAAAATAACTTCAACCATAGGAGCCCTGATAAAAGCCAGTTCAGGAACATTATTGATATCATTTCCACTCAGATCAATTGTGGAGTATGAACTATTAAACAGTCTCGATGGTACCACATTACAATGTCTCGACCTGCAATCTATCATTGAGTTGGTAATGACACAGGATGCTGTACAGTCATAGGTCTCATGATGCTGGGAGAAATAAACGCCAATCCCTATTGAAGCCGCTAACACAACTACCACCTGGAAATAAAAGCATTCCTATTTATTTGAGTGTATTTACTGGGGATCTACTGTTGTATTGTATGGTACATCTTCATTGCCCATAATGAACCCGGGATAATGAAATGGAGATACAAGTCATATGTACAGTTATGTGAAATAGAAGTACAAATTATGACAAAGTTATATACATGTTAGACATATAAAAAACTATTCAACGAGCAAAATGCTCGTAAGGTTGAGTCAGGCACTGTAAGTGTCTCAAACACAGTCACTGTATGTTAGACCGCGCTTTACATTGTTTGAAAATAATTTGTGCTTTCTCTTTTAAGAGAACAATTGTAGTTGGATTTGGCACAACATTTACCCACCATCTATTGATATATTTGGATCCAATGTAATACAATCGTTTTTTCTATAATCTGCAAGACTGCTGTACATGATTGATTGAATAGACGATCTATAAAGGAGTGGTATCGACATGGAGAACTTTTTGAACACACGTTTCTCTAAAACCAGTCATAAAAATCTAAAAGTTTAACATATCGTCAATTTAATGGCCATCTTTTGAATGGTATCAATATAATTTGAAAAAAACATATATACTTTCATCTATATTGTTTTAGAAAACACATCAAACACTTGTTTTGTTCTTTGTATCATGTTTCCAGAGTGAAATGAAACATCTTTCCGAACCTCATTGGAACAAAACGACATAAACACAACATGTTTATTTCTCTCAATATTGTAATTGTACAAAATAAATTTTGGTTGATTTTAAAAAAGTATCTTGTTAATGAAATAAAAGGTTTATATTGATTTGTATCTATTTTGGGGGGATTTTGTTTTAATTTTTTGAATACTTTTTTAAAATCAACCAAAAAATTCCGTTGTATTGAGAGGTCTAAAAACATGTTGTATATGATATTTTGTTCCGACAAGGTTCGGAAAGACATTTTATTTCATTCTCGAGAATTGGTAGAAAGGAGCAAAAACAATTGAGAAACTTTTATATGGTTGAAATAGAAAAACAAGATTATCTTTTTAATGTGGGTTTTCTTTTGAAAAAACAGAAGAGAAAAACTTCCTCTTAGTCCATGGTATGGAATCTCTAGGACGTCTAATAAAGGAGCTGGTAGCACACTATAGCGCAGCGATATTTGACCTAACATTAGCATACCTACATATGTCCCCTAATAATTTTTATTATAATCGTTTAATATACTTCCGGCTTTAAGGCTGAATTATGCCTGCCATTAACAGAGGTAAAAACATTTCCAAAAAATAAACTTCCAAACTTTCACAATTTGGAGTACACAATGCAATAGCAAATAATAAAATATGATTTTAAGTATATGATTTAGGTTTCTATTGCTCTTCCTTGACTAATTGCGACTACAGCTAAAATTATATTTTTCGTAGTTAGATATAGCTCAGTTGCTTATGAAACAACCATCAAGACTTGGTCGAATTCATGAATAATTGAGAAAAATTGTTATCATTATCTTCCTAAAATTTGATTATATCCTTCGGTAAGGTCAAAGAAGAAACAACCATCAGAAAACTTGATGATAGCCACAACTAACGTCGAGGAAGAATTTTAAGGCGTTCGACTGCATATGACTCTAATTGATTATTAGACACGCCCTTGGAATATATGAACATGCAAATACCTCTGTAACATCGAATTAGATATGAATCTTACCTATTTGTTGTTGTATTATGTTTTATAAAACATCGATAATAATTTGTTGTTAGACCTTTTTACTTGACCTTTTTGGGCCCTGTTTTTTCAATTCTTGGCCGCAATCTTCGAAAAACTGGCCCCAAATGTTCAAAATTTGGGTTCTAGGGCCCTAAAAGGTTTTCCGCGTGGCCATAGGATGGGCCCAGCAAAAAATGTTGGGCCAAAAATATTGTAGGGCCTTTTTAATGTGCCATTTGGGCATTACACTTTTGAATGTTAGGCCAATTTTTCAAAAATGCGCCATAGAATTTCAAATTTTTGCTCCAAATTTTGGTTTTTTCCTTTTTTTTGGGGGGGGGGCATGGTACTAGTAGCCTATGCCTACCGTTGTGACTATTAAAACAGCAGCGCATTTCCTGTTGCGCATTTCTGACTTCCTGGTTACTCCACATCTGTTTGACGCACGGGATCTTCCCTCAGGGTATCGGGGGATAACATCAGGCCTAGTAGATGATCTTTCTCCATCGCTTTGTTCATTTAGAAATTGACGTTCCCTCGGGGTATCTCCATGATTTCGCATACAACTGGTTTCCGGAAGCAAGCAAGATCTTTCTGTATTACTTTGTCCATTTAAACACTGGCGTTCACTCGGTATATCTCCTTGATTTCGAATAGCATCGAATCTCGGATACAAATCCCTATAAGCAGGTGGTGGGTCGTCCATTGCTGGTTTAGTTCTTTTTGTTGTGTGTCGTAGTATCGCAGAATGGAAAACCCATATTATACATGTACCGGTTTAAACTAGATCCGCAGTCTGGCGCTTTATCAATATGTTTTAGTTCTCCGAAGTCAAATGTCATTAAAAGCGTCTTATTAATGTCAATTTGTTCAAGGCTAGTGTTACAGCAATTTGCAATATGTTCATGAGTTCTCCGAAGTCTGGTGAAAGCGTTTTGAATATATTTATGTTAATTTGTTCTCCGAAGTCTGTTAGTTCTGTGAAGTCTGTCAATTAGGTCTCCACATGAAACACGTTTACAAAAAAAAACGTATAGGCCTATAGTTATAATCGTTAATCAAATATGGCCTATACGAGTTGCATTCGATCAACCTCGCTCTTCAAAAGAGAGTTTTGTCTTCGTCCATAACATTTAGTTATTTTTTCTCTCCAAAATTGGATGTGCATCTGGGGTATTCTTTTTATAATTATTATTATCACAGTGATTATAAATGTATTGGTATTCTTGTAAAAATTGACCCACTTCTAAGAATTATTTCAGTTAAGGAAGTTACGGAGATTTTCCCGGTAGAAACGGTCAAAACGCGGAAAGTTCCATATAGCCAATAGGGAGTTTAAGCTCTGCAATGTTTTTCACAACTTAAACGTGAAAGGAATAAGTGTTGCATTTGTATGGGCGATTGGTCATACGTATATATAAACGTTTTTGCTATCAATTTTTGACAAATTGAAACTCAGAGATTGAATTGAACATGTTCTGAAATATAGAGAATAGAGTCATGGTACATAACATTTACATTTAGTTTTTCTTGTTTCAGGCTTTGAAAATAAGAGTTCAAACAGACATGGGGTTTAACACGTAAACCTATTGTTATGACCCAATTATCTATCTATCTATCTATGTATATTATATTTTATCTTATATGTAATTATTTATGCTGAATGGATTGTATACAAACATGACAAACGATGATTTCTTATTACTGTATGATTATGTCTCGATTCTTGTATTACCAGAATTCAACGTCCAAGTTTAAATTCTCTATGTTTATAAACAATCGGATGTTATTGTTATGAAATAGGTCTAAATCAGCATTTGTGAGGTTTACTTAACCAAGGTCAAAGTCCGTTGGTTCGTTTCTGATACGATCTGATGAGATTTGCAATTTGAACACTAGTTAAAACGAAGTTTGAGTTCGGCTCCTCAGATCGGGACAGGACGACAACGGAATCACTTCGCAACACTTCAAAGAGCAGTTGAGTAGACTTTTGATCACGAATCTGACTTTTGGACTAGTAAACTTTTCTCAAACTAGCTAAAATTCACTTCAAATCTAATCAAATCACTTCAAAACTAGCTAAAATTCACTTCAAATCAATAATAATTTGGTTTTGGACTTGTAAACTTTTCTAAAACTAGCTGATATACTTGGACTTAGAGAGAATTTACTTCACTTTAATAATGTTTTGATTTTGAACTTGTAAAACGTTCATAAACAGTCAGAAATTCTTGGACTTTGGAATATTTTTATCAATAAATTACATTAATATTTGACTTCTAGACGTAGAGTATTCACAGCAATCAATATAATAATCTAAACAGAACTGAGTTAGTTAATTTAGAGTAAATGACTTCATCACCGGAACTTTACAGAATAAAGTAAAGTAGACAACAAATAAAAGACACAAATAATCAAGTCATTTCACTACATGATGAAAAAGACTGGTCCTTAACTTTTTTTGAGGAGTATATATTGACTGAACCGTCCTTCAACCAGTACTGAACTGCTTTTTTCATTTTGTATACCTACATATCTCTGAGACGTTTTAGAAATCATGTGTAAACTCAATCATATTTCGTAAGAAGTCTTGAAAATGGTAAATAAACATAATTTTTCCAAAACGTTTAAGCCAAGACGTCTACGGTCTTGGAGTGTCACGTGTAGTGCAAATAGGGCTATTGTGACATACACCGTACTGTTTTAAGACAGATAGATGATAGACGGTCTATATATATTTTGCAGACTTGTTGTAGCCTAGATCTACTGTTACTCAGTAAACTTTTTAAAAATATTTGGTTCATCCGTTCCTGAGAAAATACTTATGAAAAAGCTTATGAAAGGCACGTGGCCTTGAATTCAATGCCTTTAACCGGCAAATGAGGTATATCGCGAACGGCACTGACCTGTTCAAACAATTCATGTATCTAAAATACCCGGTAGCCGACAAGTAAAATTATTGGTTTCATTAATCGAGGTTTTAAAAAGTTAAGAAATCTTTTTTATTTTTAACATTTTGGCGAATGTAAACAATGTGCAGTTACTTCGCTTGAGTGACCACTATCATACTATAGCGAGAAAATAAGTCTTTGAGAAAATTTAGCAGAATATTTAGATTCAAGAGTACAGATTGATATAAGGGCATGGTTACATTGGGCTGATACAGTATAAAAGCGATTGTGGGTTGACTTGACATTAGACATAACACCAACATTCAGGTGATATTGAATTTAGTTAATATCAGTGCTGATATAAGTGAGATTGTAATGATATACAATCTCACTTAGGTAGGAGTCAAATAAAAAGGTCTCAATATAAAGGATTATGTAAGGTTGAATTTAGAATTGAAATTTGGGTGATATTGTGCTAATATTGCAAAACAAGGCTAATATTGGAGTCAATTGCAATAATATTTGGCTAATGTAGGGTTGATCCTTAATTGATATTGAGTGGGGGGGGGTGCATTCATACTTTACCCATTTTCAAAAATGTTACCATTTGTAACATGCACTTTAAGACTACATGTAGGCCTAGTATGATACAAATCCCACTGTTTTATTCTTCGATTTTTAAGTCAAATTACGATATGCATACCTTTATAATTATTATGACAGACTTCCTGGTTACACTGCTAGTAGCACAGGATCTTTCATCAGCGTCTTTAGTGATAACATTGGGCATAGTAGACGTTCTTCCTTCATTGCTTTGTTCATTTAGACTTTGGTATTCCCTCGGTATATTTTCTTGACTTAGAATAGCATCTAATCTCGGATACAAATCACGAGGTATAATATTAGCACTCGGCCTAGTATATGATCTTTCTTCATGATCGCTTTGTGCAATTAGACGTTGGCGCTCATTCGGTATATCTCCTTGATTTCCATTAGCATTTGTTCTCGGAAGCAAATTACTATAAGTAGGTGTTGGGTCCTCCATTTAATTATTTTTGTTGTTGTGTGTCGCTACATGTATATGCAGAATGGGAATCCCATATTATACGCACCGGACCGGTTTAAACTAAAAAGCTAAACATGCTTTTTTAGTTCTTCGAAGTCAAGAATCTTGAATACATGGATGTAGTTCTCGGAAGTCACTTGTTTGCAGCGTTTTGAATGGTAGTCAATAAAAACCTTTAAAGGTTCCAATAAGCATCCCGTATAAAAACAATATGGCGGCTCCAGGCGAATCAACTGGATCAGTCCATTTTTAAGAAATAAGGGGAGTTCTGTAAAATCCAGTTTATTGAAATTGTCTTTGAGATAAAGAAATCCGTTTATAATGATTTTGAAAACGTTATCCATGGAGTGATTGCGTTCAAACAGTACATGTACAACAGCCAATATAAATCCTTGTATTAGAACTGCTTTGTTTCATTTGTAGGATATTTCATATGCCAAGCTGTGTGCTATTACGTTATGGGGAAGTTTAGATGCCAATTTTTCCTTATTATACACAAATAGAAGATCCTGAAACTTCACCCATAAATTTGGAATTGATTTGTCAAAATAAAAATCACCCTTTTATAAATGTGTGACGATCTATAATATACTTAGCAGTTATGTCCCTATCATTGAACATATGCCTGAGGTCTGTCACCAATATAGCCCGAGCTTGCGAGGGTTATATTACGACAGACCGAAGGCATATATTCAATGATACGGACATAACTGTTGTATTACATACTTTTATATCATGGCTACGTTATATCAATGACGCCACGTGTCTGTGTGCGAGTGCACCCTATGCAGACAGAGCCTGTGGGAAATATTGGGTGCGGCGCAAATGAGCGGAGGGTGCGGAGCTAACGGTCATTTTTGAATTTAAAATTGGGATATTTCTGAAACTAAGCCGTTTTGGGACTTCAAATATACCAAGATATGTGTATTTGACACCAAATATCAATAAAATTGTGAAAATAGTAGTGCAATTCATTTTATAGCGACGCAGTATGCCTTAAACATTTCCCAGACCTATATATTTTGAGACTATCATTTTAATACTGCGTCCCCAGCATTCATAAAAAATGATGTTCAAGATAGACTACCCATGCAAATTATTTTTGCATCTTGGAAGCCAGGCAGTATCTGTGTGATTTTATAAAAATTCGGAAATGTTCTTCAGATATGAGCCCCTCTAAATATTGGGTGCGGAGCTACGTTTATGGAGCTGCTCCGCACCCAATATTTAGAGGGGCTCATATCTGAAGAACATTTCCGAATTTTTATAAAATCACACAGATACTGCCTGGCTTGCAAGATGCAAAAATAATTTGTATAGATAGTGCACCTTGAACACCATTTTTTATGAATGCTGGGGACTCAGTATTAAAAGGATAATTTCAAAATATATAGGTCTGGGAAAGGTTTAAGGCACACTGCGTCGCTATAGAATGAATTGCGCTACTATTTTCACAATTGTATTGATATTTGGTGTCAAATACACATATCTTGGTATATTTGAAGTCCCAAAACGGCTTAGTTTCAGAAATATCCCAAATTTAAATTCAAAAATAACCGTTAGCTCCGCACCCTCCGCTCATTTGCTCCGCACCCAATATTTCCCACAGGCTCTCACTGCATAGGGTGGAGTGAAATTAGGAAGAAATGAAACATGACATCCTGATGACGTCATAAGATTGTCATGGTAAAAGGTTTGGCGGCTACAGGAATATATAGCCGACCTTCAGCTCCATTGACTTCAATACAAATGCTTCGCTGGGTATGTAATACTTATGCTATATAACAGTTAGAGGTGTTGGCACAACGACATCGAACCTGTGAACCCTTGAGTATTATTCCGGGATCGGGCCTTTTATACTAAACGGCGAGCAACACCAGAAACGAGCGTTCGATTTGCTAAACGATATGCGTCACCCTTTAAATGCCAGATAAATGTTCTTGCTAAAAATACTTTTGAGGAAAAAGTAGCATTTTCTATGTGTATTTTATATACATTAATGCATTATTTAAAATCATTTTCATCATGTTAAAATAGCCCATAACCATATGTTTGACTCTACAGAATAGAAATGGTTATTCAATTGGTTTGAGTTCGTTTCTGGGTTCATTTTGATTGCTTTTAGCCAAAGAGGGTTCACTTTGCTCCATGATTCTATCATCTGATCGTGACCACAACTGTGACTGCTAAACGTTCCATGTAGAATGTAACCCTTATGACAGTTACAAGCGTTGTATTCAACTTACGATTGTCACCATACATGGCTTTTTTAAACATAGTTCGTGGCCGATATGCTTTCATAATTCTGAAAGAAATATTCCAGCCGCTTTAACCAAGATGTTTCATACACGTGATTGGAGCATATTTATGATGCTTCAAACATATAACTTTGGAGAAGTAATTTTACATATTCAATGTAAATTCTGAAAATTACCCCAATTTGGAAAATTGAAATCTTAGGGATTTGGTATAAGAACAACTTGCGTCTATGGGCTTCGGTAACAATTAATAACAGACAACTTATTTATTTGAGCCTTGCGAAAATCGTTGACTCCCGCGTTGACTATTGAGACACTGATGGAATCGACAACACAGTTCTTGACGTTTATAAATAAGATGGACAGCTTTGAGGGGGCCGTTTTAGGGCTTCTCTCCCAAGAACATTTGAAGCGCTCTAGGGCGTTTTAAGATATGAAATTCCGACTAATATCAAAAATATAATAAACTGAAATTATTGGCCATTTTTAAGTTTTGGGCAATTCAATGTATGTAAAAAATAAACTTTGAGATAGATTTTGAGAGTACGCCATTGCGTTTTGTGCGTATATAACTCTACGCCATTGCTCGGTTTTAGCAAGGACGTCTATGGTTTCAGTAAGTTCGTGTATTGAAGAATGTTCATGAATGAAATACATAGGTATCGTACATTTCATCCAAAAAATACCTTTTGATACTTCAAAGAAGTTGAAATACGTACATGTATCTCGACTCGATTTTTTGTATACATGTTCCCAGGGCCTATGGTTTCAGGAGATTTCTTCGAACACATGAAACTCTCTATTCCTTTTTGTAATTCCCTTTTTACAAACACATTCACTATAACAGTACATAATCAAATGTATGTTTTAAGTAGGTCTAGTAATAGTATATTTTATTAAAGTTAAAAAATTATTAACAATGTACATATTTACAATGCAATAAATTGTATATAAACAACATATACATAATGGTTGACTAGAATTACATTTATTGTAAAAACTACATTATTGTAAACATCCTGTCTCGAACTGTAGGATCTCAGAGTGCTATATTTTCATGAAACTGTCCAGAAACGTGTATATCCTAAATTCACACACTAATGACCATTCTTTATCATTTTTGGCCAACCAGGATGCAGTGTTACTATTCTTTATTTTACATCAGATAAATGGTTATGTGGCATACCGTCCCGGGGGATTCACTGTATACAAAATTATGCAGGGGTCCTAGGCTGAACCCTAAGATATCACTATGTTCCCATACCATTCTGTCAAATTTCAACGTTTTCCCATACCAACCAAAATAAGGTCCAAAAGCCATACCAAATGTCCAAATTTCTTGTTGTTCATTTATTAATGTCCACATATTGTTGCATATTAATTACCACATAGTCTATTTACTTCCAAATATTGAAGTGTTTTTCTAGTTCCATAGTCTTTTCATTTCCATATGGTCTATTTCCCATCAATGTGGTATATTTCACTTTGTTTTTTCATATCATTCCTTTCATATCTCATGCAGGCCCGTAGCCAGAATTTGCCAAGGGGGGTTCACTTTCTGAAAACTTCCAGGGGGGTTCACTTTTGACAATTTTGGTCCAAAAATGGCCAAAATCACGCCAGGGGGGGTTCACTCAAGCTCATCGAACCTCCCCCTGGCTAAGGGCCTGTCATGTCTTGTTATCGCTAGTCCCCTTCCAGTGGCGTAGCGTCGTTTACGCAAAGTACGCAAATGCGTCCACTGGAACAATCCAATGTTTATCTGAATATTTGGAAATTCTAAATTTCTCAAGTTTTAATAAGCAAAGCCATTGTTCAACCTTATCATTTCGTATCTTTGAACAGGGTTCAACCATAGAAATTAGGTGTTTATTTTAGTCCCGACATGTCATTAATGATTCTTTCAAATTATACTGAGAGTATGCGTTGAAACGCAGGTCAAATTGACCTGGACAATGTTGTTGACACTTTTGCGGGAAGAAAAAACAGGAGAATAAGTTTCATTCTGTAAAACTGAACTTGGGCCCTTTGTCCTTTTGATATGAGACTGCTGTAATTGAGTATATATATATACTCTGTACACTACAACAATTTTCATAGTTGTACGTTTTCGTTTCGTCGTACTCACATGAGTCGGAAAATAGAAAATATGATTTTATGTTATATTCCTTGTTATATTCCTTTATGAAAACACGGGACGATCGATACGTAAAGTTTAAGTGTATTGACCGATATTTGAACTTTGTACAGTAGGCCTACATCATCAATTATTCCATCATGCTTGTACGTTTTTCGCTTGTTTGATAACGTAAATTGCACTTCCTGGATCCTAAATAAATTAGCTAGATTTCTCCATTCATTCTTAACGATACATTAAATATTTTGCTTGAATTTCTCCAAGACTTATAATGAGTACTTATGAGTAAATTTCAAGTGGAAATGAATGCGTATCGGGTAAACCCCCCCCCATCCCAATTTTGGAATTTTGCGTACCCTAGTAAAATTGCCACGCTACGCCACTGCCTTCTACATTGTGTACACATTATTGAGATTTCTTCATTGGCCTATTTTCCTTTCTCCTTGAAATACTCGGCTGTAAAAGAGATCAAACAATATCTAGTTTGTTCAATTCCAGTAGGGATCTCCCTTTGGATATGAATGGAATTATACAGTTTCATCATGGGCTTTCCATGGTTTCATATAAACACAGTTCACTAGACAACAACTCAGTACTCAGGCAACGATAGAGAATTTGCTGTGAAGATGGATAAATAGATGGCTGCAAAAGTTTTGGTACAGCCAGAATACTGTATAACATGGAGACAACTGGAAAAGGTCACTTACTTCTTGATTCCCAAAATAATTGCCTTTTTGATTATTGTAAAACTTGTCTCATTGACATGCTTGTGATTTAACATCAATATTGTGATCTCTTAAAGAGAAAATAACCCTCAAAAGATTTTATTAACCCTGTGTCAAAACGGGACCCTGACCTTTTCAGAAACCTTAAAATTACAGTAAATTAAATACAGGAAAATAATTGTGCAAATCAATGTTGTTTTATACTCAGAATTCAAATATGTCATCAGTTAGAGAGATATTTCAGAGTTTAAAGGTACAGTGTAAAACAAAGCCTCTACTGAACATTTTATATTTTATTCCTCAATCTCAGCAAACTACAGAGAATTTATCATTGTGCCATAATTCTGCAATAGCTATGTATCACTGGTCAGTATCAAGTGAAGTTTACGACCTTCACCTTTGCATTCAAGATGGCCGACGGGAAGTGTTGATTTTGATATTTCTAGTTTTCATCAAATTAAACGTTTCTATAGTTGATGTAATACTGATATTTGAAATTAATCAGACTTACATGACATGGAAACACTGGAGTTTGATCATTTGATCATATATATCAGTTCAACGATATCTTCCACGGCTTAAGGGAAGGTAACTGGAAATGTAACGGTCATCAAACCAAAATCCCAGTAACCTTCCTTAAGGGGTGGAAGATATCCTTAAATTGTGGCGCCTTACAAAAGTACATGAACAATTAATCATACTTCAGAGTTTTCATGTCATATGAGCCTGATTTAGTTAAATATTAAGCATTATGTCAACTATAAAGTAGTTTAATTCAATGAAAGCTAAAACATATCAAAATTGACACTTCCCGTACGCCATCTTGAATACAAATGTGAAGGCCATATCCTTCCATTGATACTGACACTTTTTATTATGGACTTAATGGATCAATTAACTAAGAGTACAGTACCTAATTTCTCCACAGCTTCCACACAGACACTTGGATACATCTGCTCAGTATAGGTGGCTATGAGTAGAAGTGTAGCTGTGCGGACTAAGATCAGTCCTCTTTGGCCCTGTAATTTAAATTACAAATATTATTTGAATATTAAAGGAAATATTTCATTTTATTATATCCTCTCACATTCCTCACTTTCTGATTGGTGAATGACCTACATGTACACATGCGGTGATCTCCCCATGTCACTTTTACTAGGGGGTCCCCCTACTTGAAACCAAAGGCGCCCCAGTTGGCACCCTGCACTCCAACTTCTGTTTTGCAAAATGAGTCAAGTAAGCACCATCCTCCGTAGCGAGCACCGATTTTTTCAGACTTCAAAAATTGCACCCAGTTGAAATTTTTTTTTGGGAAGAACACTAACATGACTATGGTATAAGATGAGATATTCAACAGCTGCTGTAATTATGTACTGTTAGATAACGAATGATATTCAAAGGCTGTACATATGTACTGTTAGATAACAAATGATATTCAACAGCTGTACGTATGTACTGTTAGATAACAAATGATATTCAACAGCTGTACATATGTACTGTTAGATAACGAATGATATTCAACAGCTGTACACATGTACTGTTAGATAATTATAGGATATCCTATGATTTTGAGGAATATCATTTTTATCTACGAGGTGATATTGATATCTGCACGAGAGAGCAAAGCGAACGAGTGCATATATCAATATCACCGAGTGGATTAAAATGATATTCTGAAAAAATCATAGAATGTTCTTATTATCCTACACTTACAATACAAGGAGTGTACTAAATGTATAATATCATTGCAAAATGAATTTCATGCCAAATAGAGTCATTTTGGCAAGAAATCAACAAGCGGAGTATATCGTCACAATATCCTCCGCATATTGGGTTTTCCGGAGTATATCGTCACGATATCCTCCGCCCGGAGTATATCGTAACGATATCCTCCGGATATTCATTTTGCCAATAAATATCAAATTTATTTTTTCATGTTATTATACATTTAGTACACTAAGTGTAGGATAATGAATGATATTGAACAGCTGTACATATGTACTGTTAGATAACAAATGATATTCAACAGCTGCACATTTGTACTGTTAGATAACGAATGATATTAAACAGCTGTACATATGTGCATACATGTATATGTACTCTGTATAGAAATGTATATTTCATCGATCAATTCTAATGTTCTTTTCACCAAGAATGAATCGTTTTCATCTCAAACCATTTCCTTGTTCTTAAGGTGGATTAGATAGTAATGTGACTTCATGCCAAATATCATTATGATATCAATTCTACCAATAACTATGTTTAAAAGAGTTAAATATTTATTTACTTATAAAATGGTTTTGTGGAAGAAATATGTAATAGTTTTGTGTAGCATCTCCATTTAGCTAATTTAACATCATGCATGAAATCATTGGATTTTAGAATTATTACAAATAATTTATTATAACAATAATTAAATACTTAAATCTGAATTGATAGGACTTTTTAGTTAAAGAACCATACTAACTCACATTTTTGGAATAGATGGAGTTCTTGTCAGCTCGCACACACTTGTATGGTTTGTCCTCAAAGTAGATTCCCTCTTCTCTCGTTTGTGGAGGATTCTTGAAAGCATCTATTAACATCTGCATTTGGTCATTCAAGAGCTGCAATGCATTGTACAACCTAACTATTGTATAACAATAATATATGATGCAGCGAATTGTACAACATACAGTATCTTCTGACATGGAATGCATTGTACAACATGATTATTGTATAGCAATCATGTGAGCTGGAATGCATTGTACAACATAATTATTGTATCTGAGATGGAATGTACTATACAATGCATTTATTGTATAACAATTATCTGAGATGGAATGCATTGTATAACATAATTATTGTATCATTCATTATTGTATAACACACATGTACATGCAGCGATAAAAGTATTGTAATGTAGAACCCATGCCCACACCTGATAGCATAAAAGTACATCAAATATATTGCTTCAAACATTCCACCCTCGTCTTTGTTATCCCTTTAATATGGGTCTAATACTCACATTAAATCCAACAGATGCTGCTCTCAATGAACAATCTTTACGACGTATGATGGCACATTGCGACACGTGTTCTGTTGAGATGAGTGCATCATGCAACAAGTTCTGCAGCTGATTCATCTTGACAGCATCCTACAAAATATTATTCTTCATAATACAGGGTGTCTCTTCATGTACAAAACAATATTCTTCATAATACAGGGTGTCCCAAAAAATTGCACGAACATTATTCTTCATATACAGGGTGTTCCTACAAAACAATATTCTTCATAATACAGGATGACCCTACAAAACAATATTCTTCATAATACAGGGTGTCCCAACAAAACAATATTCTTCATAATACAGGGTGTCCAAACAAAACAATATTCTTCATATACAGGGTGTCCCTACAAAACAATATTCTTCACAATGCAGGGTGTCCCAAGAAAGTGCACCAGCATCCTACAAAACATTACTTTTCATAATACAGGGTGTCCCTAAAACAATATTCTTCATAATACAGGGTGTCCCAAGAAAGTACACCAACATCCTACAAAACATTATTTTTCATATACAGAGTGCCCCTACAAAACAATATTCTTCATATACAGGGTTTCCCTACAAAACAATATATTTCATATACAGGGTGTCCCTAAAAACAATTTTTTTCATAATACAGGGTGTCCCAAGAAAGTGCAGCAGCATCCTATAAAACCTTATTTTTCATATAAAGGGTGTCCCTAAAAACAATATTCTTCATATACAGAGTGTTCCAAAAAGTGTACTAAAATAAACATGGAAGAACTCTTGAGTACTGATTGAATATATTCTTGAAATTAAGTCATCTATCGGACCAATTTGTCCATATTTTGAATTTCATTCAGTTTTGTATTGATCATTAATGATGATCACTAATACAAAAGAGCATGTCATCTAAAAAGTCAATTCCACAGAAAGAAATCCTTAAATTGAAGTCTTATTTATGCCTTGCAAAATACATGTACATTTCTATCGTCATTTTTTAAATCATGCCCTGTTAAAACCTTAAAAGAACTAACAGCAATATTTGGATTATCCTCCAGGTGAACATTAAATATCCACTGACTTGGGTTCTTCCATGACATACTGCTACTGTTTATCCAAAAAAACGATATAAGTTTTTACTTTTATATATAGTTATTAGTCTATATACAATGTATCTCTATATAAATGTTGTATTCTTTAATTTGTAGTTTTTCTCTAAATCCAGTAATAATCCAAGAAAGTTCTGCTATTGTATATTTTCTTGAAATATTTTAATTGTCATAATTGTGTATTTTCTGAAAAGAACTCAGTTAATTTTTTACCAGGTTACTGATCTTTCATAAAACACTGAATTGAAGTATAGTATGTTTTTGTAGCTGTATGTATGTTAAATGATTCATGTTTAGTTATCTCATACAGATATACACATATTGAGATCCATATATACATGTAGGGCTCAATAATGTTGATATGTCCTAGTTGCTTCGATGCTTAATGTCAATAAAGTCTTGTTTTCTTAAGGTTCAATATAATCACTAGTTCATGATCTCATACATCATATATCAAATCGAATCCAAAATACTCGCTTGTGTTTTAATATTGATTCAAAAATGTGAATTTTAAATTCAGTATTTCCTGATCTTCACATATATCTTGGTCTCCAGTTTCTAACTGGTACCCCTTATATACTATCCAGAGTTCTATTTAGCTAAGTTCTATGGTGCATTCAGAAAAATTGTTTACCCAAGGAATTTTGTATTTGAATAAGTTCTTGTTGTGTTGATTCAAATGTTAAAATTGATTGTTCCAGTATATGGACAAAATTTTAGGTAAGTGATATTGCCCAGCTGAAACAAACAGACCCCATGTATATTATTACAGATATAAAGGTAATTTTTTTGCAAACAAGACAGAAATGTATTTCATTTATTGTCTCAGACACTTTAAAATGCCAATACATCATCAAATAGCAAGTTGAAATGGTCAATGTTTTTGGGGACAACCCCTGGCGCATCCTCCAATTTTTTAAAAAAAATATATTTTTATTTTTTAATTGACTCATACAATGGGCATGCAGTTATATTTGAAATGTTTTAGGTCATACGCTTTAAAAATATTAATATCATGTATATTTACTCAACATCACTTTTTATAGCCAGATTCATAAAATAAAACTAGATGGGAGAAACTCACAGGCTGGTATCAAAAGATTTGTCCGCTGTGACGGAGCATGTTATTTTTCATGAAAACACTAAGAATGCTTCACGATTTATTTTTTAACTCATATGTTTCGTTATATCAAAGATAATTACTTACTCCATGCAATGGATATATCATTTGCGTGTAACCTTCACTTCTGTTTGAAGTCCAATAACGCTAGGAGTAAAATCTATTGAAAACGGCGCCAGAGTATCAAACTCTAAAATGTACCATTTCTTTTTTAACTTTTTAATGGCATGATATAGTGACACGATAATATTAACATACTGTACGCCCGGTATTATTCGCGTGCGATTAACTTTCGCGCTTTTCGCGATGGTGTTAAAATCGCGAAAAATTATCGTCGCGAAATTGCCAATTAAATCCCCGGGAATTTGTTCTTACCCGGGGCTGCGATGCATTTCGTCAACTTCTGATCCCTCCATTCCTACATCTGTAAGAAGAACTACAACATGCGTTTCGTTTTGTGTAAAACGTTTCGTCTAGTGTTATTGGGCGATAATTGGATGATTTTCACCAACATGATGTAATACAAAATACGAATTCAAACTGCCTTTTCGTTTTAAAATAAGACCGAAATTAACGATGCGATAATAGAAGTTGATATGCAGCTTGCCGATGATAAAGATCCCAGTTATTGTAAATCTGATCCAACTATGACATCAGGTAAGTGCAATAACTGTACATATACTAGTAATTTAGCTTGAGAATTCCGAGAATAATGAATTTCAAACTTGTGAAATTCGCGAAATTTAATAGCCGCGAAACCGTGTTTTCGCAAAATTCGCGAAATTAAAGCTCGCGAATAATACCGGGCGTACAGTATGTTTTCACCATAACTCTTTTTAATGTTTTTATAAAAAAATAATACTAATATTTTTTGTCTGCTGTGACGGAGCATTTTCACAGTTCACATTTGCAACTGCTCCGTCACAGCGGACAAAAAAATTAAACATTATTTTTTATAAAAGAATTAAAAACACCAAATACATCAACATCTCATTTATACCTTCATAGTTATGCTGAAACCATGTGTAAATATTATCGTGTCACTATATCGTGCCATTAGAAAGTTAAACAAGAAATGGTACATTTTGAAGTAAGATACTCCGGCGCCATTTTCAATAGCTTTTCTTCCCAGCGTAATTGGACTTCAAACAGAAGTGAAAGTTACCCGCAAATGATATATCCATTGCATGGAGTAAGTAATTTTGTATGGTATAACGAAACATATGAGTTAAAAAATAAATCGTGAAGTATTCTTAGTGTTTTTATGAAAAATAGCATGCTCCGTCACAGCGGACAAATATTTCGATACTAGCCTGTGAAACTGGGAAAAAAATATATTTTGGTATAGTCACGCTACATGCACCTGTGACCCCTCCCCCCCCCCTCCAAGTACTTCACTACATACTCACACTTATGGGGAGCTGTAAAGTGGGGGAGGGGGCTCACAAGGGTGTTTAGCTACAGAACACTAATTTTGAAATCTTAAAAATTGAATGTTATTCAATATTATTCAAAGTGTCACTCATTATTGTGAACACCTCACTATTGTGAGTACCATTCAAAGTGAATATGTCATCAGTGAGAACACCTGACTATTGAAAATACCTCACTACTTAGAACACCTGACTATGGAAAACACCTTACTATAGAGAACACCTCATTACTGTGAGCACCATTCAAAGTGAATATGTCATCATTGAGAACACCTGACTATTGAAAATACCTCACTACTGAGAACACCTGACTATGGAAAACACCTTACTATAGAGAACACCTCATTACTGTGAGCACCATTCAAAGTGAATATGTCATCATTGAGAACACCTCACTATTGAGAACACCTGACCATGGAAAACACCTCACTATAGAGAACACCTCACTGTTGAAAACACTTGACTTAGACTATTGTGAACATTTAGGTGATGTGAACATAATCTACACTGGATACTTTCCTATTGTGAACTTCTCATTAACACATCAGGCATTATCAAGTGAAACATGCATATTAAAGGTGGAAAAGCCTCACGTGTATTTCAAATTCATCCTCGATCCTGTATGCCATTATGCTTTGCTTAAACTGTTAAAACAAATTAAACAATTTAACACATTCATGAAGAAATATGGACACTATTAGGAGTTTGACAATTGGCATGGAGTTGAGAGGCTTTGACAATGTAAACTTGACAGGGCTCTCCTAACATTGCATCCTTGCTGTGGTACATCTGTAAAAAATGCTCCTCCAATATTTCTTAAATCCTCCATAAAATACATGAGAATCCTTAAAATTTCAACATTTTAAAATATTGCATTAAAAATTCAAAATAAACTAAAATTTTGCACAAAAATAAAAAAAAATGAATATTTTAAAATACAGCAAAATTATTGACGCAAAAATTCCGAAGGGGTGATTACTGGTCAATCTGGCTTCTTACATCACAGGGACAGCTAAAGCCACTAGCCCTCATTTAAAAAATGATGACATAAATTATCGCATATTAACATGCTGAAGCTGTCAAGTCCTGATTCAAAATCGAGAGAAATCCCCATTTTTAGAACTTTCCCAAAAGAATAAAACAGTTCAATTGCACAGGTATTACATACCATAATACAGGGTGTCCCATATATATTCTACACTTTTGGATCACCCAGTATGTATACTCACCTAACTGTATTGTATCATAACACATTTAAAATACTCGGATACACTTAATTTGACGCTACTTAATTTGACAGATTTGCTCAATTTCAAATATTGGCGGCTATTTAATTTGGCGGAGTCAGGACTGAGCTCAACTTTTATCATTGGTCTGGAAACAAACATTTCAGATTCTTGTGTTCTATTTACTGTAATTCTTTGAACAGCACTGACATCCAAATAAGAATACTTACACAATCCGAGTGAAATAATTGCAAATTAGAAATTCCCTGAGGATTTTCAAAAATAGATCTGAAAATTGGTGGATTTTTAATTTGGTGGATTTCTTCAATCCGCCAATCCGTCAAATTAAAACGTTAGCCAAATTAAGTGTATCTTCGGTTCATATGAATCATGGCACAAAAATATAATTCTTACCATACATCATTGCGCAATATGTGTTACTCTTTAATAGCTATACTCACTGGTACTCCTTTTGCTTGATAAAAGGGGTCTCGTTCCAAGCTTAACATTGCCATGGTGATGAAGTAATGTAATAAACAAGCAGATCCTATCTATCTATTGATCACTGAATTAATTAAATTGTCATTCCTTTGGTTATTATATCATGTAGAATTCTCTTGCAAGCTGATTCAATTCAATTCAATTGCACTCAAAGATCCAAGTTTAGATGTTTTGAATTTGAAGCTTTATTCAAATCACCACTAGTCTAAAATATATTTATTAATATTCAAGAATGCATATTCCAGACTTTTCAAGTATATACTCACTGGTATAAATGAAAATCTCTCGATATCTGACTATTTATTAAACTCTATCCATGAATTCTTACAAACACAAAATATTCAATTGGTTCAACTTGGCCATGTGATTATACTAAAGAACCCTGGGATATCACCTGCTTTGGATTAGACTGGCTTAACATAGAACCTGCATTGTCAGAATGGGGGATTAAGAGATTAAAGAACAATAAGGAATCAAGACCCTAAAATACTAAAACAGGAAAAGAACAGTAGATCTGAAATATGTGAACTTCAAAATAATTTCTGATGTTAAATGATTTCAAAATATGGAATATCAAAAATTAAATTCTTACAATAAATTTAATTTTTGGAATACACATTGAATGCAAGATTAATTAACATATAAAGATATGGTAAGTTAGTTGAAAATGACAATGTTATGAAAAGCTGAGTGATTTTGGTTACATAGCCAAAAGGTTAATAAAATTGTTCATTTCAGTATTGTTAATGTTATCCATTGCTTTTAGTTCATTCTGATCACCCAGATGCATTTTATGATCCAACCATTGACAGTTTTTTTCCCAAAATTTTCCTCTCCACTCTTCTTTCAACCTCTCAAAAGAGAGAGAGAATAAAACATGTTGTCATTATAATGTTTGTAAATTTCACAGAATGGTAGTCTTGCATCAATACCCTTTAACCCCATTTACTCTCATCTTACATGAATCCCCTTTATCATAATTCTCTCTCTTGTCTTGCAATACACCCATTTAACTTCATTCTCACATAGTCTTGCATCAAGCCCTTTAATCCCATTTTCTCCCTAGTCTTGCAATAAGCCCATTTAACATTTATCTTTCCATAGTCTTGCATCAAGCCCTTTTATGCCATTCTCCCTATAGTCTTGCATCAAGCCCTTTTATGCCATTCTCTCCATAGTCTTGCATCAAAGCATTTTATCCGATTTTCTAGCAAGTCTTGCATCAAGCCCTTTTATGCCATTCTCCCTCAAGTCTTGTATCAAACCATTTTATCCCATTTTCTCTCTAGTCTTGCACCAAACCATTTTACTTTAAACCACTACCTTTCTCCCTCGAACTAAAAAAAACAGAGATGTTATGGTGGGAAGACAGGGGCTTGGTGCAAGAATACTCTTATTAGGATATTTTTTAAGCAATGAGTCAATGACAACTCAGTGGCAGTTAATTATAAGTCGAAACTGAATTGACTGATATACAATAGTATGTGTGAAGTGTACACTCAAAATGATGTTACAAAAAGTTTTTGTGAATACTGTAAGCCTTGTGTTCAAATAGGATTATCAACTACAATTAATTTTAAATAAAACATGTTTGTGACTTTAATATTAATATATGTGTTCATTGAAAGTTATGGATTAGTAACTGGTAATCAATTACAGTAGAACCTTTAGAAGTGGAACACCTCTGTTAGTGGAACACTTTTCAGAGCCCGGCCCTTAGACCAACAGACTTAATGTACTCTAATTTAGAAACACTGTGCATTGAACATATTTGCATTCAAAAATATGATATTTTAACAAGAAAAATATTTCAAATGTTAAAGGCAAAATAGGAGCTTGAACCAATAGAGCCATCAGAAGGACGAATAGACAGACAGATGGATGAGGGAGTGTTTCCTGAGAACTAACACCTTTGCAAAACCTATCTTATAATGATTTAATAATTTATATCTTATTATCCATCCTTGTCAAGGGTGTATTTAACGAGTTAGTACTTAGTTTTCATTACGGCAAAGATTTCACTTTGTCGCCCTTTGAAATCAGGTTATTGGTAGATTAATCTGAAGCAAGCGTGAATATCTTAGGCTTGCGAAGTGGAGTAAACATATAGGCTCTTCACCCAACAATAACAACAACAACAACAACAATAGCGTATTTAACAAATAAACTATGCTATACATGTACCTGTCTCTTCAAATAATACATGACTGCAGATTACTACAGTGTATAATAGGTTCTTACGTCTGAGCCTGAAAAAAAGTTGATGTTGCTGAATTTTGAATGTCCACTGTCAATTGGAACACATGACTGACTTTTTACCTCCTGCAGTAGATTTGGTTGATTTGGCGCTACGTGTACTTGATTTGTAAGTGAATGTCAAACATGCAGTTGGCAACAGTAGGGAACAGCTCAGACATGGGTTCCAAAACGTGTACATGTACTGTAAAAGTTGGTAAAAGATTTACATGTATCATTGCATCTAGTTTAAATTAACATCACATTCATTTCCAGACTGTACATTCAATACAAAACAGATTTCCAATTACATCTGGAATCCGCCACTGGATTGGAAAATGATGTATTTTAGAAATTTGACAATACCAGACCAATGTTAGTCAGTTTTTTTTATTTTTTTTATTTTATTTATATTAGGCTGGACTTGATAAGTCAGTGGGGTATGTTAATCATTTCCCTTTACTATTAGTGACTTGACAACTCTAGTCCTGCTGCCAGGACTGGACTACTCTAGTCCTGCTGCCAGGACTGGACTACTCTAGTCCTGCTGCCAGGACTAGAGTAGTATTTATACTTCATTGAAGTATAAATAGGATAATTAAATAGGTTATGATTTTTTATTCTCTCTGTCAACTATTTCCAGGCCTGTCCGAACGGGAGGGCACTGGGGGAGACCCACCTTTTCAATAATTTTTTTACAGATTTGTATTTAATGATGCAAATAGGGCTCTCAGACATACTCATAATGCACCGCAGAAAGGGTCTACATTTTTCTGGAGGGCCTCCCCTTACACTATACATGTACTGTAGCTACGGTACATGTACAGTACATGTCGCAGCACTCTGCACCGGTGATGCTTTGTGTGTGTTCCTTGCGCCTACTGTGCATCAGGGGTATACCAAATGTCGCAGAAGTACCCCATTGGAAAAATTTTTGGGCCCCTAAAACAAAAATGTGGGCCCAGATTTTGAAATTTTGAGGCCCATTTTCTTCAAAATTTGGCCTAAAATTAAAAAATAAGGCCTTAGAAGGCCCATTTATGACCAAAAAGGCCCACTTTTTAGGGCCACAAGGCCTTTGGCTCCAATTTTTTTTTGGGCCCAATTTTTTTTTTCTGGCCCCCCCCCCCCCAGATCCGCCAGTGTAGGCCTGATTACATACTTCATACAAACTTTGTCAGTTTTCATTTTCATTTTTACAAAATCAGCAAGTGAGTGTTTTTGTGCCAAACTGCTAATATCCCAAGTGAAAAAAGTCAATGGGAAAATATTGACAATAAATAGGTAATACTCTATTAATTCTTAGCTAACAAATACCTAAAAAATTTATCATGCAAATTAGAGAGAATTACGTTAATAAATAGGTGTTAATAATAAGGTATTGTTAACATTCAACGCTCATGTAGAATATTGACTGATTATCAAATGAAAATTACATTGTAACAATAAGGTAAAATTAGAAATCTAATAATCATGTATTTATTATCTTCCAATAATAAGCTATATGTTAACAGAATATTACCTAAATATTGTACATATTTATTGTGGTAATATTCTCTAATTTGCATGATAAATTTTTTAGGTATTCGTTAGCTAAGAATTAACAGAGTATTACCTAATTATTAGCTATTTAAAACCTATTTGTTGCATTACTCTTACCCAAGATGCATTATGGTCTACAAAATGGGTAGGGACACACAAATTCGAAGTAAATATGTGACGTATATGTAATTCGCGTGAATATTCAAATCTGGCCATGCAAAGCGTATAAATTAATTCATTGCAAATTCTCTTGCAAAAACTATACAGATTTTGTCAAAAATCTCCCACAAAAGTACCACTTTTTGCAGAATTTACCGCAAAAACTATTGCGTTTATTAGAAAAAAAACTGGAGATAATCCGCTTTTATAAAAAAAAGTACCGGTTTATTTCAAATCTACCGTAAAAACTCCAGTTATTTCACCTCAAAAACTCCAGATTTTTTAAAATCTACGGCGAAAACTAACAATTTTTTAAAAAACTTCCAGATTTTGTAAAAATCTCCCGTAAAAGTACCACAATTTTTGGAAATCTCAAGCAAATTGTTCATTTTAGGTTGGCCCTGGGTATGTAAGATGATATAAGCAATTATTATGGGACATCACTGGTAATTTTACCCATCGATCAGAATTGTCCTGAAGGCAAGAAGGCTCACAGTAATTGAAGGACCCTCTAGGCCTCCAGCAGTATTTATCTTCATAAAAATACCTTATATTTTTACTGCATGGTACAATTAGTCATACACAACACATTTATGCTTGACCACTTTGACTGTATGAATAGACACGCGGTAGTATCTCTTCGGGACGTATCGAAACCACTCCGTCCCGAAAAAACCGTTAATTTGAATTTAAAACCTACCCAAGTGTTTGAAAATCAAGGATTGTGAGTCTCACACTTCACCGTTTTTCTTCAAACTTGTTCCGTACAAAGCTTCACAGAAATACCTTTCAGTCGATACATTGTTTTCGTGTACAAAGTACCTCGTTTTAGCGGCGTTTTGGTCCCCAGCTGTGAGATAAAGCAAATTTTCATAACTTTCAACTGTAAGTCAAGTTATCTCGCCAGTCTTTTACCCATTCTCGCCCATAATTTCAGAATGGACTCCCATTACAACCTTCCATCGCTACGTCTTGATTTTTGGGCATCAAACGCAGCAGTTTCTAAATCATCCACACATCTCTTCAAATTTGACCAATACGTCCCGTCACCTTCCACTACGCCCCGCCAAGTCTATCACTATACACGTAGAGTTGCATTCTAAAACAATTTGTCCATCGATGTGTCTGTTTGTAGGTTGCCATTGTCGATTCTAAATACCAATCGGATTGTGTTTTAAGATTTACCCATTCTTGTCCATTTTCAATATACCTATAATAGGGTGGTCCAAAATCTCCCTAAAATTTAGATTTCCCGATATTGCAATATAAAGATTTTAATTACTGAACAATTAAAAATATTTTTAAGAAACGTTTAAAGTGCCCTATCCTTGAAAAAATGTTAAAATGCGAAAGGATGGGTGATGTCAATTATATTATTTTCAGCATAACGTTAGAAACATGTATCATTTTATATGGTACACGTTTCATAATGTAATCCAATGGAATCATACAGAAGAAAATTATGCAGTTTTTCACCATTCTAAGCCCATTTTGGGCAAAAAATGTCAAAAGTGAACCCCCACCCTGTAATTTCTTAAAAAATTGTGAACCCCCTTGGCAAATCCTGCTTACGGGCGTGGAATCTTACATCATGTTAATTCAGAGGATACACGTGTGCAGGTTGAGATTTGACATACTGTAAACGTATAATGTAAACCATGAATAAAATATTGACATGCGAATCGAAGCCTATGTGATCGAGTTACTTTGATCACCTACACTGATTGGTGACAACAACTGCCATGCTAATGTTTAATCACCCGTGTGAAGCGTTTGTTATTATCATTAACTCAGAGACATATAAAATGTCTCTGCTTCCTCATAATGGCGGTAAAATGAAGTATGCTACCTTCCCATTGAAGAGTTCAACTAATTTCGTCCAGTGCAATCAGTGAAAATTGAATCAGTAAAATGTACCGGGATAATGATTTCAACAATGCAGTAGGAGTTTTTTAAATTTATATTTTTTTGGTCAATGTAGCTACCTAACGTTACAAAAGTTTACAGAATTGTCAAAATAGGTGAGTACAATGTTGTTAAGTCAGCCATGCTCACATTTTAAAGGAAAATCTAATTTAATGATTTATGTACCCCGACGACTGTTTTCAGTTATAAGGAATGGGTGTATTGTATTAAAGCGAGTACCGGTGTAAAATAAATTATGGTCCCCTGGGGATTATGGTCCCCTTTCTTAACGGCTTGTACTGGCCCCGATTGTGTATAAATAATAAGGAAAATATTTGTAATTAGGTCACCATATAAATCAATAGAGAGTAGGACCATAATTTGATAGGACCACCTACGCTTTTACACCGGTGTGAAAGATATTATGGTCCTCTGGGGATTATGGTCCCCTTTCCCAACGGCCTTTACTTTACACCGGTGTAAAAGCGTAGGTGGTCCTATCAAATTATGGTCCTAGTCTCTATTGATTTATATGGTGACCTGATTACAATTATTTTCCTTATTATTTATACACAATCAGGGCCAGAAAGGGCCGTTAGGAAAGGGGACCATAATCCCCAGGGGACCATAATCCCCAGGGGACCATAATTTCTTTCACACCGGCTTTGTTAGTACTTTTCCTTGGATGTCATACAGTACATTTACACTGTGGCATGATGATGAACTTAGAAAATATGTATAGTCATGACAAAATGTTCTTTGTGATATAATATTGTATAGTATCATTCTGATACGTATTACATGTTTATGTTTAGTGCATAAAATTCATAGCCAGATCAATAATTCGGAGAGAATACGCTGGACGATAGAATATTAAAAACTATAAAAACATTCTTCATAGAATTAAGCAAATAGTGTTATTATCATTTAAGTAGTAACTGCATATGTTTAAAACCACTCTGTTTAAATACAGGTAAATAAATAAATATGATGCAATGAATATTGAAGCTTTCTGTCGAGAGCAATAGTCATCACAATAGTATAGCGTTTTTTTCTTTTACATGTTACTTTTTGTACATCATTGATTGATCCGCTCTAATCTGCCCTCGGCCGATAATTTATAAAAAATTATTTATGTTGAACATTAGCAAAACAAGATTCCAGATTTTATTGTGTTTCAAACCAGACACTTGGTTTCCTCACAAAGTCAAATACAGGACAATTACATATAATTAAAGTTAAAAAGCAACATCTTCACAAACATTTAAATTATCAATTTCATGCAATCAGTTATAGTTATACTCCGTATGTATGCTAAACTTGAGACTGGTGTTAAGAATCGACCAAGGCAAACCTATGTAAAATTACACAACGATGAACAAAATGTTTTAGAATACAACTCCACGTTTGTAGTCATAGACTCGGCGGGGCGTAGTGGAAGGTGACGGGACGTATTAGTCAAATTTTAAGAGATGTGTGGATGATTTAGAAACTGCTGCGTTTGATGCCCAAAATTCAAAACGTAGCGATGGAAGGTTGTAATGGGAGTCCATTCTGAAATTATGAGCGAGAATGGGTAAAAGACTGGCGAGATAAACTTGACTTACAGTTGAAAGTTATGAAAATTTGCTTTATCTCGCAGCTGGGGACCAAAACGACGCTAAAACGAGGTACTTTGTACACGAAAACAATGTATCGACTGAAAGGTATTTCTGTGAAGCTTTGTACGGAACAAGTTTGAAGAAAAAAGGTGAAGTGTGAGACTCACAATCCTTGATTTTCAAACACTGGGGTAGGTTTTAAATTCAAATTAACGGTTTTTTCGGGACGGAGTGGTTTCGATACGTCCCGAAGAGATACTACCGCGTGATAGAATTAAAATTTAGCCTTTATAAATTCAGAAAGAAAAGAAGATTTGCCCATCTAAACTGGAATAAAACAGCAATACTTACATTTTACCTCTCACAAAGTAGACATGCAGAATGTTCAAGTATGTCAGTAACTTCTGAATCTATATTTGATTGGTCATTTTCATACTATTATTATAAAATCATAAAATTACCCAAATCTCTTACAGTTGAACATTCTTTGTCAGCCATTTTTCTTTTGGTTTAAAAAGAGCGGGAAAGTTAATATTTTGCTAATACTCACTGCCACATTTTTTTTAAGTCCAATCTTAACAATTAGCTAATTTTTATCCCCTAGGGTAGCAAGGATGACAAAAAGTTACCCAATTATTCAAAGAGCATTATAACATAGTTGTTAGAATAATAAATAGGTGTAATAAATAGCTATTTATTGGCATTCAACGTTCATTGATTTAATGCTCATTTAACAAATAGGTTAACTTTTATCAAAATGCATAATTATTAGACCAAAGTTAACCAATTATTACATGAGAATTGCCATTTCTTTTTACTTGGGATTCCCTAAGAAGCATGGAGGCAGGTAAAACAAGTAGGTAAAATATGTATATAATGCAAATTTACATATACACAGGGTCAACAAGTCAACATCTAAGAAGAAAATAACACATAAATTAATCTTATTTCAAAGTATTCACCTTTTATTGGATTTCCTTCTCAAAACCGGGGAGCAGCTTTGACCCGAAAGTGAAGTGTTGCTAGGAGAATGCTTCGCGGAGTTTAAATTCAATCGATGATATCTCTTCAATTGTTCTTATAACAACATTTTAAATACACCCCAGAGGTGAATCAATAATCACAGATCTCCTCAGGAAAATATCAGTTCTTTAAATGGTATCTTAAATGATCAAGAAGCAAGTGTTTATATGCTTGACGACGTGACGTCACTAAGTTTGTTTTCAATATGGCGGCTGACTGGAGAAAGTAAAATTTCATTTTCTCCGACATTTTTGTTATTTACTGCTTATCCATGACTCGTAGGATTAAATAAACTTACAAAGCTTACATCGGAATACTACAAGAATAAAATGACATCATTACTATGTGTAAAACGGCCTGGTGGTTTAGTGGATGTGCACAATGCTAGCACCTTGGACAGGCTCATCTCAGATGCAAATGACCACACCAAAACAATGGTAAGTTTAAGCTTTAAATTTACTTATATCTTTATCTAAGGACCTGTCTAATTGTAAATTCCTTGTATTGTCAAATGAGGGTTCAGTTTCACGGTACCCTCATATTACTTCGGTCCAAAGCCTTCTCTATATTCCGGCTTTGAGGAGGAAGATTGAGCTGCCTTAGTATTATAAATAGACTATTGTAAATCATTGTGTCACACGCACAGTAAATATGGCATAATAATATGAAATATACCTTTATGTATAGATTTGAAGAACATCAGCTCACATCCCCGTCTGAATCTATTGTTATATTTGATTTCTTTAAGCGAGAATAATTTCAAATGTTATTCACGTCCAGAACCGGAAGCCATTTTTAGCTACAGCGAGAAAATTTCACCATGTGTCAAACTCCGAAATGAAATTTTGAAATATCTAAATCCAGACAAGCAACGCTTCATCCTAAATATGATTAATATTCTTAAAAATATTTATAAAATTTATTAAAAATGAGTTCTAGGTGCGTGTAGGTGCGTGTAGCACAGAAAATCAATGAAGTTTCGTCTAGCTGTAAGCTAGAGACTCGAGTAACCCTCATAAATGTGTGCTCAGTTTGTGTTTTACTTTTGACACTTGATAAGGCAAACCTCCATGAACTGGCCTCAAGTAATAATAAATAAGAAAAAACGCCAAATCGACCCCCCATCTATGAGGATAATTCACAGGTTATCTGTCTGAATTTCGTTTATCATGTTTTGTAAATTGTCATACATGTATTTCTGTGACCACTTGTCGATTGTTAGAATATTTTAATTGAATTGGTCCCAACTAACACCTTGATTAATGTGACCTCATCTTCATAGTTTACTGTATGTATTACCCACACATTTTATTTTACCGCTAATTTATTACACAATAAATGATTTATGATGGTAAAGACATACAGTACTGTATGATTACTGTATATTCACACAAGACATACTGTATGTAATATATTGATATTGGTGAATTTTGTGCTTTATAGAGAGTAGAAAAAACAGTATTGAGACAAAACAAAACTCCAATGAGGCCACATACATCCCCAAGCCTCTCACAGCATGCCAATGATATGGATACCAACACTCTGATAGGGCAATCGATGAAAGTCCAGGACTGGTTGAATGAAAGAACTATACAGAATGTACAGGTAAGATTATTTTGTGAATTATTTTACTTTACGTCATAATGTGTGTAAAACAGGCTGAGGGATATGTACAGTATAAGTATACTGTCATAATTTTAAAATACATGTACAAGAAGAAATAAAATATGGCAACTCCCTGACAAGTTTTCTTTTCAAAATCTCATGCAAGCATATTTTTTCTGGCTCAAATCAAAGGAATAAATTATTTTAAAACAATAATGAAAATGACACTTGGTATTTTAGTTTTAGGATAACAAATTCAGACTTTCTGAAAACAAATATGTCGTATATGATGCCCTTGCATATTTTCTTTCAAATTGAATGAAATAATATTTATTTCCACAAAATTAGCCTAAATTGTATGATATTTTTAACAATGCAGATGGAGTGCACAAATTCACAACTTTACAGGTTTTCCTCAAACTTGAGTATTACCTATGCATTCTGGGTAAGGTCATGCTTTGTCTTATATCACAATATCACAGCATTGACCCATCACCTGAAGCAGTAGCTGATATTATTTTTGTTAATTATGAATATTTTATAAAGGTAGTCCTGCAATTTTATAAAAAGTTGAAATTTCATTTTCATTTACTTTGATTTATATTTTGCTTTTGAATATATTCTGCTAGCAGGGGTTTCATTAGCAGCAGGAAACAGGCGATTTTCACCAGTTGTTTTCACAAATCTCCTGTTGTTTTTAGGGACTTTTCAACTTTTCCATGTTAAATTAATGATTTCCAATTAATTTGACCCGTTGTTTTCATTTATTTAGCCTGTTGTGAGAAATTCTAGTGAAACCCTTGACTAGTGTCTAGATTTCCATACATATAAATAATGAAAATATTAACCATATAATTAATTATTGGTAAATATAATTGTGAAAATTACAAAAAAATCTCTTAATAGAGCAATAAACAAATAATAGGGTTTGAGTTAGTTATAATCATCAAACCTAAATTTACTCTAGCTTCAGCATAGAATCCCATTATGAATTACGCAGTTTGAGAGTGAGTCAGTATTTCACTGTATTTTGTGAAGTGTGCAATTTATTGTCCCTATCACATCCTACCCATCTATATTTAGTATTTAGTTCTCCCAAAATTTCATACCCTAAATATTATTAGATAACCCAAATACATGTACAGTAGTTCAATCAACAACTTTTAGTTTCAAAAATTGCATATTTAAGGATGTGAGTGAGTAATTTTTGGAGTTTTATATCCCAAATCTGTCCCAAAATGAATTTATGAATTTTTATTGTCAGCCGATCTAGAAAGTATTTATCAAAAAATCAAGAATATCAAACACTTTTAAAGCAATAGTTAGAATCTGACTTGTACTATAGATAAATACAAATGAATGGGTCACACCTCCCGATATAAAAATACAAATTGTTATCATTATTCTAGGAGAGGGCAGATCAAGAGGCCAAGTCTACTAGGAAACTTTATGATGATTTACTACATACCGAGAACACTTTTGTTAGGGTAAGAACTTTTTGCGAGACACATTTTATAGTGTAAGACACCCATGTCAGTGTCATGGAGATGATATTTGTTGTCTAGAACTTACGGAAATATATCTCTGATTTTTTCTAAGAGACACCTGTAATTGTACTGTATGTATGTGCAAGCCACTACTGAGCAAAACTCAACAGCAAACATTACAGGTACGTTATACATGTAGATTAGAATCACGGTACTGTACAGTACATTAAGAGTATGGTACCACACAGTACCGTTTAAATATGGCACTGTCTACGGTACTGTATGGTACCGTTTTAGTCTACGGTACGGTACTGTATTTCTTGGTACCGTACAGTACCATAACCAAAATGGTACTATACGGTACTGTTGCAGATTGGGTGTGTATTTTCATTGTTTTTCATTTCGTTGATAGATGAAAGTAACATAAATTACAACATTTGGATTAAATCACATTATTGCATGATATTAAAATGTATTTTTAAATATATTTTTATATACATGTATATTTAAATCACATTATTGCAAGATAAAAAATATGACCAAAAATTTATTCTTTGGATTAAATCACATTATTGCATGATATTAAAATGTATTTTTAAATATATTTTATTATATTTAAATCACATTATTGTGTGATAAAAAATATGACCAAAAATATATTCTTTGGATTAAATCACATTATTGCATGATATTAAAATGTATTTATAAATATTTTTTTTACTTTCAGGATGTCGATGAATATTTATTATACAAAAAAGTATTAGAAGAGAGGAAAAAAGAACTGTTGCATAAAAAATGGGCAGAACGAGTACATGAGCCTATTAGACAACAGATTGTGAATGAAATGAACAGTTTTAGATATAAGGAATTAGAAAAAAGGAAAAGAGAATTATATAAAGAATATTTAGAATTTACAAATAAAAAGGTAAGATTTTGGAAATCAAAGTATAAATATTTATCTCTTTTGATATGTTAAAATTAAATTAAGGAGGGCAAAGTAGGGTCAAAGACTAGTCTCAGTTTGGAGAGCGAAGTTCATCAGTCTACTGCAAGTCACGCCTGCTTTGGACAATTTTGATATTTTAACATAATGTAGATTTAAATATCCTCTTTTGAATATTTATAATTTAATTTGGGTAATATTTCTATATTTTTCATAAAAATATTAGTGCAGTACACTGATCGATAAACTTCTTTCTTCAAATAGAGACTTGTCTTTTATTGAATCGGTCTACTGCACTTGTGCACGTTACGCCAGCTTCGGACAATTTTGATATTTTTTACATCTCAACTAAACAGAGTGGTATCTGATTGTCAATTTTTCAACATGGTGAAACACCCAGTTGTTTTGAAGCAGGAGAGATCAAAACTGGACTAATTTTTCATCATTAATTTACTGGTACAGTAGAACCTGTATATCTGAACACCTGGCTTATCTGAACACCTCCCAATCTGAACACTTTTTGGTCCCATTTTTTCCTCCCATTGACTCCCATGTTAAAAAACACTTGAAATGTGAACACCTCACAATTTGAACAGATAACAGTCATATTTGAAAAATTAACCTGTCTAATCTGAACATTTTTCATAAAATTTCACATGTTTCATTCAAAATTGCTCAAATATTGTTATGATATCAAAACTTTGGGAAAAAAAGGTTTTACTGTACATGATATATTTTGGGCTGTATAACATTTTTTCTTTTTCTTTCAGGGTCATGTATTCTTGGACACTATAGCTCCGGATGAATATTTTGCTCTTGCCTTACATCCAAGTAGACCAGCACCATTAAAGGTAAGTACTAGTCTGGACTAGTTGATTAATATGAACCAGTCTGAGTGTATCACATTGAATCTAAAATTAACAGGGCAAGGAGCCTTTTTAATTAATTTGGGCCTGAAATGAGGCCCATTTTTCAATAATTGAGGCCCATTTTGTCAAAAAATGAATGCAGTTATAAGTTTGCAAAAATATATAATTAGTTTAATATTTATCTGTTCATGAACCTTTTCTATTTCCTGTGTAAGAAAAATGTTAACAAATATTTTTTATATTTTATCACAGGCAGAGACTAGCCATTTACGAGATCCCCTAATATCCCAAGCCAGAGAGCGTCATAATGAAGAGCGAGCAATAATGCGCTGCATGACGGGGGCGACATACCGAGATCGGGACCTCGAGGCTGTCAAGCTCCCACCCCTACCCCTGGTTCCTCAGGGACGTCATGGCACTGAATGTAAAACTTGGCTAGAAATGCCATTAAATGACATAGAGAGTCCTATAAGACACGCAAGCAGGTAAGAACATGCTAAAAATCATCAAAACCTAAAAAATTGTTGAAAATCATTTGATGATCCTGTTGCTGTTTTCAAATTATCAGATAGTTAATTGATATCCCAGTTGCAACAAAAACCTAACTTTATGTCAGATTTATTAAATGGGATATCTCTGATAAATGGTCTGATTTGGGGTGAATTGTTGGATATTTGAAGATTTGAATCATTTTTTATTGTTAAGATGGCAGGAAATTTTAATATTTTTGAAAAAAACAAAAGAAAATAACTTTTTGTCTCGGAATATTTCTCATGCAACTTTTTAAGTCATGGAAAATAGTTTACATTAAATATGATGAAAATATATTTTCAAACTTTACATAGGGCCTTTAACAGACCTTATATGCTTTAAAAGTTCATTTTCTGAATGTCATTATAATATGAAAATCTTCAACCTTTTATGTTGGCAACATTTGAAATGACATCATGTTGAAATCATTTGTAAACATGATGCCTTGGCATCATTAATTGTCACCATGTATTGACTATTTCATGAGTTGACATTTGACAATTTATTCTCAGCTCATTTCTCTAGTTGACGTTAGGGTAATTATAACATAATACAATACTGCTTTCATTTTCACTATAGCTATTGTATCACAAATGCAACCAGTACATGTAACCGAGGCATGCAACCAATATACTGTATGCAACCAATACATGCCTGACACCATAGCAACGTACAATCACTTGTAAATGAAATACGATTGGTCCATGTTGTTATACCTTTGCTAGCACAATCACTTGCCTAACCATACCAAACAAAAACATAAATTGAAAAAATAACATTTTTAAAATTATAGGATGAAATTGACATCCACGTTGCATGCATAGTGCCACCTAGTGGCAGTGGTAAGAACCAAAATATAATCACTAGATTAGTTGTGGGCTTTTTCAGATGTAGAGAACATTATAAAATAGCCTACTCATTACTTATGTATATTTAGCTAAGAAGTGTGGGCTATTTTATGTATGCATTTATTTTAGATGCGTTTTAGAAAGTTTTTTTGCTTTCTTCTATGAAAGTGTACTGTAAAATTGTAAAGGTGTTGGTTTAGCATTAGAAATACATGAAATGATACATTGTGTAGCATGTATAGATTAGCATGGAGAAAATCAAAGGGAAGACATCCTAAAATAGCCCATAGATACCCAGAATAAATGTGGCCTATTTTATGCATGGATTTGCTTTGCAATGTAGAAAGTAGTTTGTGCTTTTACTCTCTGGGATGATGAACCCATATAGGTTCTGGGCCGATATAAAGATGGCAGCACCAACAGAATCCAGTATTATATTTTTCTCTAAATATTTATAAATAAACACAGATCGATTACCATGCCATCTTTATTTTAAAATTATTTCTATCGACCTTTGCCTATGGATGAACCAATACAAAGGGACAGTGTCCCATTTTCAAAGTGATGGAAGAGCAAATTTTATTATTTATTTTATATTTAAGAGTCTTTTCAGTGAAAAATTTTGATTTTCAAGTGATATTCAGTGAAATTGTTGATTTTCAAGTCAAGTTTAGTGAAAAATGTTGATTTTCAAGTGATATTCAGTGAAATTGTTGATTTTCAAGTCAAGTTCAGTGAAAAATGTTGATTTTCAGGTAAGGTTCAGTAAAATTGAAAAATGTTGAATTTGAAGTAAAAGTCTGTGAAAATGTTGAATTTGAAGTAAAAGTCAGTGAAATGCTGATTTTCAAGTGAAATTCAGTGAAAACTGTTGATATTTAGTAAAATTAAGTAAAAAAATGCTGATTTTCAAGTGAAATTCAGTGAAAACTGTTGATATTAAGTAAAATTAAGTGAAAAATATTGATATTCAAGTAGAATACAAGGAACAGCAAATCATCATTTTCAAATAAAACATATCAAAAAATGATTTTAATTTTCCACTATTGTCGACATTACATTTAGACACAAACGCCTGTTTACTTTGAGAATATAAAGCATTGGTTTATCTTTCACAAGAGGATGAAAACAAGCATATTGTAGTTCAGGGAGAGTACTATAGATGGCGCATAAGCTTCTTTCGAAATGTGATGCTTTTATGTTTTGCTGTACATGTATGTCAAATGCTTAGAGCTGACATTGCACTGAAATAGTACATGTTGAATCATATGGAAAAAACAAGTACATGTGTACATGATCACCAATTGCAATTAGAATATTTATATTTAGAATTGAAAATTGAATTCATTTTGGCTTCTATTTTTTGGTATACCTAAATGTGCTTTCTTCTTTGAAACTTTTGGATGGGTTATGTGCTTGTATTACATGTATTACAGATAATTGACATATAAAGTCAAATACTTTAATGGCAGTATTAGAAAAAAAGTTTAAGAGAAAATCAATACACTCTTTCTCGCATAATTGTACATTCATGTCCAGAAATGGCCCTGATTTCTGTTTTTATCATAATATGTGTAGAAACTGTACACAGAATATTCAGTTTTTACAGAAAATATGAAATCTGCAACCCTCAGTTTCTGATTTTCATATGTATTTTTCTATTTAAAATCCATTTTTGATACTCTGTCTAAAATATCTAATATTTTTTTGTTTTTTTACAGACAGAGGATGAAGGGAGTTTTCAATGAATGTCACTTTGACCTTGAACAATGGTCTAAAATGCCATTCTCACCAAAAATCCTTGATGAAGAAATGAAGACACAGAAAAAACGGACATACGAGAATATGCATCCATCTGTATCACAGACTCAGTTTATATTTCCCAAGGTGGGACGTAAACAAAACAATGAGGTTGCCATGGAAACACTTGCAGTATCACATGCAAATGATATGACGAATGAGAAGATGTTATTTCTGTAGTATTATGTGAAACATCAGTATTGTATTGTTGTATTGTACTGTTGTACTATTGTACAGTGGTCACCGCTTCTTCCTATGCTTGACAGACACAAAATGTTTTTTATTGTTTTATTTTAATTTAGATTTTTTCATACACTATGTTATTCAATGAACCACAATTCCAAGGATTGCATGAAAGTCAAATGTACAAATCTTTTTAATGAAATTTTAATGTGTTCTATTTATAAAAATAATTGTTCTCTATTGTGATTTTCTGATTGCTGTATTTATACCTCTATATTACATATATTTCATACTGTTGACCACCTCTGGGGGATCGAGGGTCCCCCTTTGTGCCTCAAAAATTGGCCTTTTTGGCATAACTTTTAAAGACCAAATTATCAAAATATAGGCCTTACATTTTCAAAGTTTTGGCCCAATTTTGGGTTTTAGGGGCCCAAAATTTTCCTGACTAGAAATGTGCCCCCTTGTTAGCTTCTGGATCCCCCAGTGATCACAGTATACTTTTAGCTCATTCACCCTTTGAAAAATAACAAAATGAAGCATTATAGTTAAAAAGATCAAAATTAAGAAACTGACATTTGATTGACATGATATTATTTTCATGAAACAAAAAATATGAAATGTTCATTGAAAACATTATAACTTCACAAATCATGAATCAGGATAGAAATAGCATTTTTAGCATTTTTTCAAATAGTGTCTTGACAATGATATTTATTTTTAAATGTTTTGAGATGGGGAAAGTTTGTTATTGTACTGACTGAAGTTTTATTTTTATATTTTACTTTTAAACCATGAATTTCTGCATGCACTTAAATTTTAAAAACATGTACTGTACAGTGTAACAAATTTCTTATTTAAAAATAGAAAAGTTATAAACACATAAAATATAAGAAAATCAAAATAAATCTGTACATATTGTATAAAGCATTGTACATATTGTATATAAAAATGTGATTAAAATGCAATATTTGAATCTGCACAAATCTGCCAAATGAGCAGTCTGAATCAATAAAATATGAAAAAAATATTAATCAAAATATAGTTGGTTATTAATTTGATTTATTTTTATCCTCTTAAGGTAGGATAACTATAATGAAAACCACCTTAAAGTAGGCCAATGTGTTAGTGAATAATTCGGCCAAAATTCATCCATCACTACCTATCTTAATAAATGATAGTTGTCACCCCTGAGCTTCAGTATCTAGTAGAAGCACACAGCTATGCAAGATGTATCAAATTCCAACCAATCAGAACATAGTGTTTCAAATAATGCGCATAATTTCAAGTTGTCAGTTGATTGGAAATCGATATAAACTAAATGAGATTTGTTTGTATGATTTTGGCAGGAAATGGTTAAAATCGTTCAAAGGACAAGTTTGCATTTTTTAATTTTCAGTTAAAAGCTACTTCATTTCAGAAATATTATTTTATATTAGAACATTCATTGCTACATGTATTGTTTTGGGACCTTCAGATATAGAAAGAATTCAAGATACCTTGAAGCACTTTGAAACGGAAATTGGGAGATTCGGATGCTTACTCGAGCAGTACAACGTTCTCTAAAGTTTTTAAAATTGATCAAAAATTAACATTTCTCAGAATTCACCATATCACGCGGTACTAACTTCGACCGTTAATTTGAATTTTTGACCTACCAGTTGCTTGAAAATCAAGGATTGCGAGTCTCATACTGCACCGTTTTTTTTTCAAACTTATACAGTACCATTAAAAGCAAAACAAAATTGCCTTTCTGTCGGTGCATTACTTTATTGTAAAGAGTCCCTCGTTCTAGCAGCGTTTTGGTCCCCAGCTGTTAGAAGGCCTTCTTACAGCTGGGGACAAAAATGCCGCTGGAAGTAGGGACTGTGTTTAAGAGAATAATGTACCATCAGAAAGGGATTTTTGTTATGATTTGAATGGAACAAGTTTGAAGAAAAACGTTGAGACTCGTAATCCTTGATTTTCAAACATCCGGTAGGTCAAAAATTCAAATTATAGGTCGAAGTTAGGACGGCGTGAATATGTTAAGTAGCGGTCACACTAGCCGTAGCCGTGTAGGCCCACCGTTCGCCACCGTGTGGCTAATTATGGCCAGACGGCGATAGCCGGCATGGTCACACGGTGGGCCGTTTCCCGGCCGTTTGAAAACGTTCAGGGAACGTTGCCGGCCATCCACACCCGGCAAATCTTTGGAGCATGCTCAAAACTTTTTCCGTTTGACTAACGTTCGGCTGCGAACGGCGATAGCGGTATGGGAATGGTATGAGAATGGTGCGGCCGTTAAGGACACGTTCACAAGGCGGTGATGGGACGATGGGGGACGTTGACTCAATCAGCGACGGGTTGCGAACGAGTTTACTGCTTTGGTACCGTCCAATAACACCCTATGCAGACAGAGCCTGTGTGAAATATTGGGTGCGGAGCAAATGAGCGGAGGGTGCGGAGCTAACGGTCATTTTTGAATTTAAATTTGGAATATTTCTGAAACTAAGCCGTTTTGGGACTTCAAATATACCAAGATATGTGTATTTGACACCAAATATCAATACAATTGTGAAAATAGTAGCGCAATTCATCTATAGCGACGCAGTGTGCCTTAAACCTTTCCCAGACCTATATATTTTGAAATTATCCTTTTAATACTGAGTCCCCAGCATTCATAAAAAATGGTGTTCAAGGTACACTATCTATACAAATTATTTTTGCATCTTGGAAGCCAGGCAGTATCTGTGTGATTTTATAAAAGCTCGGAAATGTTTTTCAGATATGAGCCCCCTCTAAATATTGGGTGTGGAGGAGCTCCATAAACTTACCTCCGCACCAAATATTTAGAGGGGGCTCATATCTGAAGAACATTTCCGAAAAATAATTTGCATGGGTAGTGTATCTTGAACACCATTTTTTATGAATGCTGGGTACGCAGTATTAAAAGGATAGTCTCAAAATATATAGGTCTGGGAAATGTTTAAGGCATACTGCGTCGCTATAAAATGAATTGCACTACTATTTTCACAATTTTATTGATATTTGGTGTCAAATACACATATCTTGGTATATTTGAAGTCCCAAAACGGCTTAGTTTCAGAAATATCCCAATTTTAAATTCAAAAATGACCGTTAGCTCCGCACCCTCCGCTCATTTGCGCCGCACCCAATATTTCCCACAGGCTCTGTCTGCATAGGGTGAATAAACGGGCTCCCAACGGGTGTTTGAAATGTCACATTAAAAGCGTTTTCACGGTACCAGCCGCTCAACGCCTAGGTAACAGTCCATTGACGTGTTGACGGCCTTATAACGGCTTCATAACATCCTTCTAACATCCTATTACCGTGAATTCGAAATCGTACCGTCTTTACGCAGCTTGTCACCGTCTTCTGCAGTTTCTGCAGTTTTTTCCTCTTCGATTTATTCACTCCTGACCATGTCGCTCTTAAAAATGAATTACTTGAGTTTACGTAACAAAATGTCGCAGCTACGATTTTACTTTTTTATTATGATTTTTATATATTTATGATGATATATCAATGCAGAATACTAACCTGGAACCTAATAAATACAAACACAATTAATAAATACACATTATGCCAACGCTTATACCATTACACCACAGTGGGAGAGATGCCGATATCAGATTTCGACTACACTATAACTTGGATCTTAGTAAGTATTAAATCCTATCAACGGGGGACATTACAATCTATTACTGGTGTGACAGATCTGAGAGTCTCCCCAGTTATAACTGTCTCCCCATTTTACCCTTGTTAATATAGGAAATAAAACTGGTTTTCAATGTCCTCCAATGGACAGCCAACCCTATTGGCTGTCCCACGGACACTGACCACCGGGGGACACTTAAATCTGTTACACCGGCGCCCGTACGACGTTCAAAATTCGGCCGATAGCGCCGATCACTGTCGTCCGATTTTGAACAAAATATGCATCGATCGGGCGCCGTAGTGAAAATCGTAGCAAATGTGACCAGGGCATGAGTGATGTTTGCAACATTTTATGCAATGTCCTATGCTGATTTCTTACATAACATAAAAAATAAGTATTTAGTATATATTACTATTTATTGAAGATCTCTCGTAATTAATGAGTTGAAAAATTTTACATTACAATTTATGTTTAACAGTTATTTTCGATTGACATCATTCAAAGTTTTACATTCATGTAATTAAATAAACAGTTTTACATTCATGTAATTAAACAAACAGTTTTACATTCATGTAATTAAACAAACAGTTTTACATTCATGTTATTAAACAAACAGTTTTACATTCATGTTATTAAACAAACAGTTTTACATTCATGTTATTAAATAAACAGTTTTACATTCATGTAATTAAACAAACAGTTTTATATTCATGTAATTAAACAAACAGTTTTACATTCATGTTATTAAACAAACAGTTTTACATTCATGTTATTAAACAAACAGTTTTACATTCATGTAATTAAACAAACAGTTTTACATTCATGTTATTAAATAAACAGTTTTACATTCATGTAATTAAACAAACAGTTTTATATTCATGTAATTAAACAAACAGTTTTACATTCATGTAATTAAACAAACAGTTTTACATTCATGTTATTAAATAAACAGTTTTACATTCATGTTATTAAACAAACAGTTTTACATTCATGTTATTAAATAAACAGTTTTACATTCATGTTATTAAATAAACAGTTTTACATTCATGTAATTAAACAAACAGTTTTACATTCATGTTATTAAACAAACAGTTTTACATTCATGTAATTAAACAAACAGTTTTATATTCATGTAATTAAACAAACAGTTTTACATTCATGTAATTAAACAAACAGTTTTACATTCATGTTATTAAATAAACAGTTTTACATTCATGTTATTAAACAAACAGTTTTACATTCATGTTATTAAATAAACAGTTTTACATTCATGTTATTAAATAAACAGTTTTACATTCATGTAATTAAACAAACAGTTTTACATTCATGTTATTAAATAAACAGTTTTACATTCATGTAATTAAACAAACAGTTTTACATTCATGTTATTAAATAAACAGTTTTACATTCATGTTATTAAATAAACAGTTTTACATTCATGTTATTAAATAAACAGTTTTACATTCATGTAATTAAACAAACGCATGCTTGAGGCATAACTTAACTAAAAAACGCCAACCTCACGGAGTAGCAAATCCCAAACGAACATTAAACTATTAAACTGTATATGTCTGATATTAGTTTTACTATTTACACTAACCTTGGCGATTATAAGACAGACATACACGTACAGGGTATTCCAAAACAGAACTGGTGCTGGTATTTTGTTAAATATGCACCTATCGTCTTTAAAATTTGGCACAATGTACTTCCATGTATTGTTACTGAAATTGCAAAGTTTCGACATACATGATGAAACTCTGATAGAGTTATGGTTGCTATGGTAACATGACATCACAATACCCGGGGCAACATTCCACGCAGAAAGTTAAAGAGACATTTAAACTTTTGTACATCCCTATCAAAGTTGAAATGCAACAACTTATGGCAATAACATTTGTTTTACATCATTTAATATTCCTATGTGTTCTCTACTTTGAAAGGTATTCTCCTCAGAGCAAGAGTAGCACTCTGTATCCATGACACAAACATATGAGTGATCCCATGTGAGGACATGTCACGCAGGGTCAATTAGACAACTTGAAGAACATCATTCTCATCTTTAAAGGTCTGTACATGTAAAAATTAGATATCGCATGATCAGAAGAGTATCGTGCACTGTCTTAGATCTCAAGACCTAGCTCCTCTACACCCTGTAGTGGTCTTTATGTTGACTTGCAGACAGGAGCATTATCAAGGTGGATGACTGGCTTCAAATTGGGTCTTTTCAAAAACTCAACAGTGAATTGTGCAGAGTGTTATACAGAGTGATATTCCAGGAAATTGAATAAAAATTATTATCGTGAAATCATACTTGAATCTGAGTTGTATAGCAACACCATTACAACAAAGCTTACGGTCTCCGTACTGTATATCAAGTAATTTACAGCTATAGAGTCGCCGTAGAAATTATAACTCGGAATGTTTTCATTCCTATGATCACCGTAGAAGTGAACACGACGTATCCGAACCGCAGAAAGGTGCCATGCTAGCCGTACGTTTGGCCAGTGGTTTTGTAACTACCCTGAGGTTTTATGGGTTACAATTGACCTTTATAAACGGCAATTACAGTAGTATCGCCTCGTGGCCGCCTTGCATGTCAAAAGAACTACGCCCGCTACGAAGACGCCCTACGTTGACCATGAGTCATCATTTAAAAGGCCGTACAGCAACCATAAATTTTATATTTTCACAAAATGAAAATAAGACTTCCCTAGCGAATGTTATTGCTTAAATATCTGAATATAGAATTTTCACGGCTGACGTATAATTGCTATTGCGCGTAAGAAGGAATTTACCGTACAGTCGCCGTTGCAAGTGTAGGCCTATATATAGGTCGTTTTACGGTCTCTGTATGGTGTATCAAGTTTCTAAAGCTAAGGCCGTAGAGTCCCCGTAGAAATCATAAGTCAGAGTTAACCTTTTCTATCCAACGTAGAAATAAACAAGCCGCTGTCGGACTGCTGAAAGGTTCCGCGGTGGCCGTAAATTGGGCCTAGGGTCGACTTGCGGCTTATCCTAGATTTTATGGTTTACCCTTGAAGACCTTAGGATCGCCGTAAGCCCCCCCCCCCCCAATTAAGCGACCGCTTTGATTGTTTTTTTTTCATGAACAACTACGCCCTCCGTTGAGACGGTCTACGCTGATCGTGCATCACCGATCAAAGGCCATGTGATAACCATAATTGTATGTCTCCTCAAAATCGAAATACGCCGCACGGCAACAGTAGTAAACATTCAGTAGCAGTTATTGCTAAAATATCTGACCGCAAAAGTTCAAAGGCGACTATAGGAATGAATGGTCACCGTAGCAAATGTGACGCAGGCCTTAAAAATGCTTAATTATAATTTGATTAATTGAAAAATGTCAATTAATCAATTAATTAAAAATGTCATTGAAATAAATGATAACCAATGTGACAACAAAGTTCACACCATTTAATCATACTATATCATTTATATGTGAATAAATCCCTATAATCATACTCTTGTACATCATTTGGTTTCAATTTTCTAAGGCCCTCAAATGTATTTCATTTGCTGGCTATGATTTTGTATTTCGAATATTTTCTATCGTGATGGATTTTCAATTTCACAACAGGGCATCTCCTGTACTAATGGATCATTTAGATAATTGGTTAGTCTACGTGCCATTTTGATACGAATACATTTATAAACCGCACAAAATGCGTTTCATTCATGCACCACTTACACATGTTAACATGAATATATGTTTCTAATATTAGATTCATGAATACATTATATTGGCGTTTTTGCATCAGCAATTTGTACGTGTTTTTGTATCATTGATAATAAACAGGGTGGTGTATTGCATCAAAAGCGAGGTAATAAAACTGAATTTCTTGCTTCTTGGTGATGCTAAAAGTAAGTACAGTACTAAGAGCATTTAAAAAAATTATAGATCGTATCTTGAGGTGACGTAGTACTTAACAGGAAATTACAAAACAGGATGTGACAAAACATACTGCATTTTAAGACAACTTTTTGATGCAAAAATTGCATCACGTTACTCCTCAGTGGGTATGTAAAGAGTGGTGTTGTGTAAACATGATTTTCAGAGGGAATTTGGTAAATGAATGAGTAATGCCGCAGCTAATGCATCCCCACGTGTACCCCCATGGTTTATTCATCGGGATGTAGAATTACGGTCCAGCATCTGAAACAATCAAATGTCCATTATTGTAATATAAGAAATTTTATAAACAATAAGGAGCTGCTCAGTTCAGCATGAAATATTGCACTATGTATCATATCTACATTTACATCAATGGGGTATGCCTTTTAAAGTGATTCGATAAAATTTGTTACTATGACCAACGTGTTTAGCTTTTCGGATTAGAGGAGTTTATTCGTTTTAAAGGAGTGTACAGGGTGGTCCAAAAAATGGGACACTCGTATTTCAAATATAAATATTGATTTTCTTGATGAAAACATGCCATATTATATACCAATGGATAGGGAATTTACTCATCTTGATCAATTGTAGCCCTCAATTTTGGCCTTAACTGGTTAAAGCATCATTGATATGCTGTTGAGACAATGAATTTCACTTCTCAACAATTCTATCCTTAGTAAGGGACTGAGTAGATGTAAGGGGTTTATGATAAACCAATTCTGTTAGTTCTTCCAATATCTGGTTGTCGCAGACGTTGATATCGGATGATCCAATTATGTTATTTTTGGACCATTCTGATATGACCTTATTTGGAATCATTACATTTTCCAAAAAGATGGGGCTCTAAGCAAAAGAGTGTCAAATGTTTAAAAGAATATGTGCTTAGAATCATCCCCCTAATCATGTAATCACTGCCTCCCCAGGTCACCTGATCACCCAACATCTGCGATTCCTAAGCAACATATCTGTTTTTTTTAAATTTTTATTTGTAGGCTCGTTTGTTATTATGCAGAATTCTAATATGATACGTGACGTCAAAATAGCTAGAACAATTGATGAATTGGTCTATATTGGAGTATGCTCCGTCGTGCATGTAAGAGAGTTTGGGTTGGACACCGTGAAATACTACAAACAATGTATTGTACAGTACATGTACGAGGGTTGATCATAAAGTTTTCATAATATCTCTCTAATTTCTTTATTTTTTAATGTATTCTAATGAAATTTTCACAGAATATGCAGCATAAAATGTCACATCAATCCAGCGAAAAATATTTAATTAAACAGAAATATTAAATCAGAAATGGTTGCCATAGTAACGGGAAATCAAGACAACCGGGGTAAATAAAATGCATTGAGAGAATGGTTCTAATTAACCACGTTAACATACATAATAAACTCTCGTATTAATTACCAAACACATTAAAATGTTAAGTTGAATATGTTGTTAAGTGCATTTTACTTTTAAGAAATGGATCATGTGGATTGTGAGATGTCATAGGGAATATTTTCATGCTTCATTAGATGCGAAACAAGTGTCTGAGACTTAAAGCTAATGACCAGAAATGACTTAACCCCAATGTCTGCAGGGGGATCAATCTGACCCCCCCTCTCGACTTTTTCAAGAGCTTTTGTTTTTTTGAGCCACAGATACAAGACACTTTTTGAATTATCTTTCCAAAATGCTTTATTTTAAGAAAATCGAGTTACTATTTGACTGTATCCAGGTGTTATGAATTTTAAAAGGTAAAAAACTGTCAATCGCCAAGTAGTTATTAAATGCGTTCTCTTCACGAATATTAGAGAAAAAAGGACCTTTTCAAAAATTACTATACCTTTGAATTTGCTTTTGTATATTCCTAAATATCTCAGCACACTTCGGTATCCGAATATTATAATGATACCTTTTCCAAATTTTAGATATAATCTTTTTATTCTCCATTACCCCTAATTTTTCAACTCCACTATTCCGATGTGTGTGCCGTTACTAGGCAACGTAATGGGTCGAAATCATATCAAAACAAAACCACATTCATACATCTGCAGACTAAATTAACGATTGGAATTTGCTGTACATCTTAAAATAAAATGCTAATACCAATAATAAGTTGAACTTGAAATTGAAGACTGTCAATTCCATGTTATGTTAAGTTCAATGGGATTTCGCGATACTCAATCCGCCGTGTTTTGGAAGTTCAATCCTAATATAGGCAACGTATTTGTCATAACACTTACGGGTACGGGGGGCAGATTCCCCACCCTCTGGCGTTTACAAAGTTGAAGAGCTAGCGTAAAAATTGAGCTACCATATTATAGGTCATTAAAAATTCTCGAGGAAGGTGTATTAAAATCTAAAAATATATATTTATGCTTGTCTCAAACTCATTTGACCCTGATCCAAACAAGTAAAGAAGAATACGTACCCCCTGTGTATGGTGTTATCACGTAAGTAGAATCTACGAATCCGTACCCATCAGATACTTCCATATGACTCTGTAAATCTTCCGGATATTGAGTTTGAGGGACTTCATCGGTAAAATAACCATGGACTGAAGTGCTTCCAAGATTTGTTGCTATATTCCAGTCGCCAAACGAAATCAAATAATATAGATAGAAAACGTCATATTTATAAACTACACGACCATCATTCCTTTCCTCTTGCAACTCATATACACCAAGAATAATATCCCGACCGCCTTCTCCTGCTAAGGTCAACTTCTGATATATGCCTGAAAGTATAAAAATAATCAATAAATGATATAAGATGGTTTTGATCGATACATTCTGTGCTTTTCCTGGCTAAATACCCCTTATATCCAAAGTGACAAAGGCCCGAACATGTAATATGAGGTTATATAATGGATGATTCCGTATATCGTGTTTATACTCAAGTGAGTATATGATATATTCACAAGTGACCGAAGGAAACAAGTGAATATATCATATACTCACGAGAGTATAACGATATACAGAATCAACCATTATATGATCTTATTATCCCACCTTAATCTTTAATCAATAAAAGATTAATCTAAATTCAGCAGTTGCATATCAAGTCGAAGAGTTGTATACGCTGCCAAGGAGTTGTATACGCTATCCAGGAGTTGTATATCGTTCTCAAGAGTTGTATACGATGAGTGTTGGTTTTATATTGCAGTTATACAATGCTATTATACAATCATATAAAGCACTTAGGGTGGGATAAAGATTGATATATCACAGGGACCGATTGATATCCTAGAAGGTAAAAGAAACATCTTAACGCAGAACAAACAATTTTCGACTCAAATGGAAAAAGTTAATTAAAATTGTTTTAAAAAGTTCTCCTCTATACTCGTCAGCTAAAATAGCTCGTCCTTTTTCTGATAACGTATATCGACCGTATACTCCACGTAAAGGATAAATAAGAAATGGATTACCTCATAATCCATTTGTTATAATCCATCATATCTCACAATGCATGTTATTTTATTATTTGTTTCTTTTCGGAGATCAATTATGTAATATTCTCTATCTAATGTATTTATACAATTTTAACAAAATCAAAAAATGTTGTTTTTACGCCAGATATTTGACCTCAAATTTTTATTGTTTCGGATTATCCTAATCCAAGGGGGATTCACTTTTCCTTTTCATAGGTAAATAATGACCTATAGTATATTTCAAATTAGTCGTAAAAATTGAAATAAAATGGTGCATTTTTGGTGAACATTAGCTCATAATTACGAAAAAGGATGATTCTCGGTTTGGAGAACGAAGTTCATCACTCTAACTGAGCGTTATCCCTGCTTCGGACAATTTTGATTTTTTTTACATAATATAGATTTCAATGTCTTCTTTTGAATAATCATAAATTAATTTGGGTAATATTTCTAGATTTTCCATAAAAAAATTACTAGTGAACCACCCAACGTCGCTTTTATGATTCGTACCACTTTTTTAACTTTATGTATTGCATATTTCCGTGGGTCGATTTTAGAAAAAAGACAAACAAAGCGTACAGGGATATGTCATGAGCATATCATGAAAAAATCTGTTCAATATGTTTTAAGAAACATTCGAAAATAATTCATTCTTAAATCGAGTCCCATTTTCGAGATATTCTCTGACATTTTATACACATTTACCCAATAGAGGGCCTCTCAAAAGAGTGACTTTAGATTTTTGGCATTTTACAAGTCATTTATAAAATAGATTAATCATTTATTAATTAGATGTCTCCACTTGCTATGAACTATGCTAGTGGTGAATATAAGCAAGTCAATTGCTGTGAGCTGGAGAGGGTGTATCTATATCACTTCTATCCTTCCACGTGATTACGTTTAAAAATAAATACGGGCTACAGTGAAGTTGTAAATGGAGCAGGTATTCCCTATCTTTTTCGATGGGGCTTTTCTGCTAATAATACACTGAAAACTGCCTGATGAATCTATACAATAAATAGTAGAACACTTGGAATAAACATGTATGTTAAATCTAGTATACATTCAGAAATATGGAAATAAACGAACGTCCTCTCTTTACAGCTTCACTGTAGCCTGTACTCCTTTTGCAGGGATACATCAATGAGTTAAAAATAAAAAAAATCGGTGTCGAGAATGGACGGGGAATCGAAATTCAATTCAGCGCGTAGGAGGCGAGGAACTTGCCACAAGACTACGCCTCTTTCTACCTCTCTCTTCCTGATTTAAACCTGAAATTCGCCCAAGCATCGACCAACGTGGTTATTATAGCTATAAATAACACGTTCATTGAACACCAAGCTACAATTAGCCGTTGATGAGAGATAGTCTAGAGAGATTAAACAACACTTAGAAACACCTTAGAAAAATGGCGCCCGTATAAGATTTTTTGTGTTCTTTTTCTGTTTATCAATACAAATTATATTTTGACACGATTGCGATAAAACGTATACCTAGAAACGTATGGCTAATTACCATAAGAGACTGGTAAATGTAAAAGTTGTTTGGTTTATCATATAAGAATCTGTAATAAAACCTCGATTGCCAAAATGAAAGCATCGATTATGTTGAAACAAAAGTTCCCAGTCTTTTTTCAGTTACCATTAAACATGAGTCATTAGTCATTTTGGATTTGCTAGAATGATGATGGCATGGATTGTTCTTTTTCAATTTTAGCAATAAGTTAATCCTTTTTTGCTTGGACATGTTGCTACCTACAACCTTTGACATCATTAATTTTGCCAATAATCAGGTTCTTTGATGTACCAAAAAATGGCAGGATTTATTGGAAAATAAACAACTTTTCATGTCCCCCATGCAGTATCGCTGAGCGTGAATTGATCACTCAAACTACGGATTGTATTTGTCCAAATAGCCTTGGATAACTATGGTAACTAAAGTAACTGGAAAATGTAATAACTTTTTCGAGCCTTTAGTGACATGAACAAAGGACATTTAGCTTTTTCGATATAAGCTTAATTCACAATTTTCAGAAATTCACATCAGTTGATTATGCTTTGAACGCCACTTAAAAGTGCCATCAAAAGTTGGTGTGAACTTAGCTTAACAAGTTACTTGGGGGAAGGGGAACAACGGAGAGGAGTTTGGTTGACATTTCCACCAGAATGATGAAAATATTCATCGATGTCATATTAAATATTTATGTCATATTGAACATTTATCTCCGAGCTAAAAAATCCGACGACTCCAAAGGTAGTTTAATCCGGTAGCCGACAGGCGTTTCTTGCATTCGTGAATACAAGCTAACCTTAAATTCGCGAATGCAACTAACGCCTGTCGGCTACCTGATTAACCCAGTATTATTTGACCAACTCATTTAAATATAGTGGCAGGTACTATTCATATTTACATGGGTCTCCAGTAAAAAAAAATCAAATAGATAGGTTAATCCGGTAGCCGACAGGCGTTATTTGCATTCGCGAATACAAGCTAAAACTATTTGTGAATGAAAGATTTCAGCTACCGGATTAACCTTCTTTTCTATGGGCAACTCGTTTAAATAGTAAAAGTACCTTCCAATATTCCATTCATATTTTAATGAATTGCCCATAAAATAGTAGGTTTATCCGGCAGCCGGCAGGCGTTAGTGGCATTCGCGAATACAAGATCATTTATTTCATAATTTGGGAAATATATATTTTCACAATATTGAAATAGATGGTGGTTCAAAGTGGAATACATATCATACAAAAGTGTCACAGATATGACTAGCAGGCATATACTTTTAGTACATGGTCTTTCTTTGCATGACTTCGCAGAACATATCAAAACCCTGGGATCCACAGGGTAACAAAAAAGGGTAATCCTTTTTTGAGCACGAAAGCGTACTTTTTGTTGAATAGCCTTTCCCAGCTGCTAATCTTGTGAGTGCATCGTGCATTCAACGAATTGTATTCACTTATTAACCAATCAGTGCCAGGAACAAAATGCACGCTAACTTTTGGGGCTAAGTTTAGTGTTTTATGAAGCATGCTCCATACAAATGTTACGCTTTTGCACATTTACTTTGCGAACTATCTATAGGTACACATTACCAATTGACTGCTACATTTGAGTGATCAAGTACCTCGTATTTTTCATTTTTCGATATTTTGTGATTTGTTGGCTGATGAGTAACTTGATATTTTATGTCTAAATGTATCAAAGTGGTTCATAGTAATAGTTTTATCAGATTCTCAACTTTTCAGTTACATTCTCAACTAACCCCCCTAAGGTCTGTAATATGTCATTTATACCTTAGGCCTAAGGTCAGGTGTATCGAGGTTCAATGATGAGACCTTAGGCCTAAGGTCAGGTATATGAAAATAACATTCATGGGTGAGACCTTAGGCCTAAGGTCATGTCAATTACGAAAAGGTATATCGACGAGACATTAGGCCTAAGGTCGATTGTATAAGGAAACCATTCACTAATGAGACCTTAGGCCTAAGGTCAGCTAATTTAACAAAATGTTATATCGATAATCATGAAACATTAGGCCTAATTAGGTCGAGATTAGGTCGAGTGCATAAGAGAACCACTTATTAATGAGACCTTGGGCCTAAGGTCAGTGTTGTTAGAAAATCATCATTGATGAGACCTAAGTTCTAACATCAATTAACTTACCATGTAAAATACATATAGGACCTTAGGACTAAGGTCGGGTATATAGGGAAACCATTCATAAATGAGACCGTTGGCCTAAGATCAGTTAATTAACCATGTTTGATATATCTACGAGACCCTAGGCCTAAGGTCGGGTATAAAAGTAAACCATTTATCAACGAAACTTTAGGCCTAAGGTCGGTTAAATATCGAAGTGTGGCATTTGACCCTTGATGAACCTGGTCAGTGTAATAAACTCGTTTTAGAAATAGACAATACATGTATATGTCTAAACTCGGTGGTTTGTTTGTAAGTTTGTATTTCTTAATACCTCAATAACTGTTGTATTAATACAAAAGGCGTTATATTATGCAGAAAAAGATTGAACGATGTAGGCATAGGCAGAGGGAGTATCACACTACCCTACCACGTGAACACATTTAAAAAGTATATAGGATACAGTTAAAGGGGACCACCACCATGGTCACATGATCAGTTGTGTGGAGGTAAGCTCCCAGTTGAAATAAAAGCACTGTCCTCCTTTGGTTTATGTGAAAAGTAGCTAATACCCTCATGTATTGGTCAGTTTGTGTGACACACGACTAATCCACACAATATGCTTCATTCAACATGTTTTATGCTATTAAGCTGCATATAAAAAC